AAACCACACGTGAACGAAGCGCGCCGGGGATAGGGTCTTTCACACCAAAAAGGCTACCTATCTTAAAGGAAAAAAAGACTAATTTGATGTCTAAATCATTACAATAGCGCTTGATTAAGTGTCGAATCTTCATCTGAGTGATGACAGAAAAATGGCCTATGTACGGCATCTTAAAGTAAAACGTGGCTAAAAGTATATAAAAAAAGAAGCTTCGACTGTCTTAACTACAGTCTTCAACGGACGAAATGGTAAACAGACGCTAAAAATTCTAAAATACAGTGTGATAAAATACAATGAATAAAATCATGGACTTAAACTTAAGAATTTTTGTTGAAAAGATGCCATATTGTCATGGGAGTGGACAAGAAGTATTGTCCGCATTGGGGGTTGACGTGGTATGCCAGGATTCTAAGAACTTTTTGATGTGACAATTGCCTTTGTCAATGATGGAGGCGTTATTAAAATCAATGGCATTGTCATGGGACCACGCATGATACGCAATCCTTAAGTTTTTTTGCCATTGTTTTGACGTTCCTTATGTTGTTTTTTTTTCCAGTGTACTAAAAGATCTACCGTTTCACCGACATGACTCTACGTTTTCTCGTCATACACACCTACGAGGGTTGACAAGTCTTTAGACGAGTGTGTATACCATTAAAATACAAGTGGAAAGTGGAATATTCCATGGTATATCACGAGAGAGCGTTGCTTAACTATCTTATACCATGCCATAGACAATACATTAGGCAATACAATCAATGCGAGATACGCGCGGTGCATGATGGGAAGGTTGGGGGTATTGAATACCGCCGAGTAAACAACGACTCAGTTTCCTGTGTTCCGATCGGCGCATTTTCTGTGGCATGATATAGACTGTTTTATACGTTTTCTCTCTGCTCGTGGTAGACCATTCAAATAACCGCTTAATCAAAACCTTTTGGAGCATCAAAATATCTTAAAGGTATTTTTTTTACGTCGTATAAAATGACATGCTCGACATTATCTGTCCTCGGCATTTTGGCGCCAAAATATCGTGATTAACCAATCATGTTCACTAGCAAGACATACATATTAATTAATTTGCTAAAATGTCAACAAACAATCGTCTATCATTGAACGTGACAGTCAGTTCCTGACTGAAATCTAATTTTAATAAGGTGAATGTGTAATATCACTGGTGAAGACAAAAAACATCCGAAACTTTTTCAAGTCGAAACGTCATAACTTTCACTTTTCATTGACGTACTTGCCGAACGTTCCCCGATTGTCGCATTGATTAGCCCGTCCACAACGTTCACTGATTCCCCAAAATGATAAACTACATGTTTTGATAAGAAAACAATTTGGTCAGCCGTTCCACCTGTCAGATAAAGCTGCTTTGTCTATAGAAAGTGTTCGCGAACACATTGCACGCTGATGCAATGATAACGCTCCTAAGTGAAAATTGAAACGCGTCAAATGTCATTAATCCCGTCGTGTTAAGCACGAAATGTACAGTTAACTTACTTTTACCGCTATCTTTGAAGTTAGGTGGCGTGAAACATCTCTCTCTGTAACCTTTGGTGGTGTCAGGGTTATCTTTCTCTGGCAGGACGTTGCACATAGCCACTGTCCATTCTAGCCCTTTATTTACAATAATATCCTGACATTTAGTTGCATAGTCGTCACAAACGGCTCTACAGGGTAAATACGGACCTCGTATTTCCTCGGTACATCGCGGCACGAACAGAGAACAAATCATAGTTTCCACAGTTTGTGAGCAATTGCCGAGAATGCTTCTCAAGGACGTGACTGCTCGCGATGCGCTTGTGAAATGATTATCAAAGTCGAACTTCGCTGTGTATTCGTAGCCGCATATTTTGTCAAGACCGGGTATTGTTCTGTTAACCAGATCGCATTGCGGTTCGGCGAGAGAAAATCCCACATAGCACGTCGTAAACAACAGGAAAGCGAAGAAGTTAAGAAAACACCTGTCAGGATAAATGAAAAGGAGAGTGAACATTTTACCGTCTTTGTGTCATCTAGCTTTATCGATCGAAAGACAAAGGCAACGGCTTACTTACATCACTGGATCAGTATAAACGAACAACAAATAAGTTCGTGGTTATACACCGACTCGTCTATTCAGTTCTGTTCTTCCAGAAGTGGCACAGTGCTAGTACTCGACACGTGTTATTGCTGGAACAGGAGGGAAAGGCAAACAAAATCAGAACACGCGTGAACCGGAGAAACGTGTGAAATGCAAATTTATCTAATTTGATATCGTAACGGGTGGCTGCCTCGGTCCAAATATATCGCCTATTTAATCAGGCGGAATCAGTGATAAAGGGACCCTTCTGACTGAAGGCTGTTTATTATTAAAACCACAGGGTGATTTCAATGGCTACAGATCAAACTTTGATTTCAACTGTCTATAAAAACGTCGGGGATCACAAAATTGCATCCTGTGGCTTAATGCTTCCGAGCCCAATACCCTAGAGGCAAGAATCATCTGGTATCAAGAAATCGTACTTATTTCGAAGAAGTTAGGAAGGACAATTCGAGCACGTGTGATTGGCTTCTGACATGTCTCGAGTACACTCGACCAAATGCGTTCACAGTTACTAATGAGTTATGAAGAAAGATGTTTTTTTTTTTATCTGACGAGTTAAGCAATTAATTCAAAACGGCCGGCGTCGTTATGCAAACAAGCTTTATCTCTTATCACAACGTTTGTCTTTAAGAATTTAAATAAAATCACGCTAGCTAATTAATTCACGATACGCATGCGCATCCACGCATATAGTCTACAGTCGAACCAGCAACCAGGATTTACCATTAAGTTTTGTTTTGGTCATGATTGTAAGGCCCCGAATAAGTGATCGAGCTTACGTAATAACACGGGCTCGTGGCTCTATAGAGTTATGATGTTGTTTTCCCACATTGATAAGGCCGCTTGAACCACAGTATATATAGAGAATCACCTACGCGGTATGTCACTGGAAGCGTTAGAGGCAACTTGCAGCTGCCACCATAGTATCGCCCCCCGTGTGGCTGATCTGGTGACTTCCGTAAGTCGCTTAGGAGTCTAGCTCACTCGCTTCAATCACACGCCTCTCCCGCTGCCTTGCGCACGGTAGAGAGGTATTCAAACTTTCCTCGTGTGCACGGTATATATGTATCCTTCATTCTCACTCGCCTCCCCAGTGTTAGGATACTGAATCGCTTAGCAATCTGTCACACGCTTCCACAGGCACTGCAAGCTGCAGTATGCCATCGTTTTATAAGCCTTTTTGTCTGATCCTCTTCTCCCCTTGTGAAACCATGTGACGAGGCCATCAAGACCAAGAAGGACAAATACTGTGTGCTCGGCCACAACGTCGGAAGAAGTTTGCTTCCCGCCAGACTAAGTAACCTCGTCAATTTTCATGAAGAGTTTTGTTGGTTAAAAGTTCTTTACACGAAAGCAAAGCGTCTCCCCGCCAAAGATGTCAATGAAGAGCAATTCGCACAAGACGTTTCGAGTCTAAACAAGTAACAGGGAAAACCGACAACTGAAGTCTGTTCATTCCCAAAGATCATACACCGTACATGCGTCAAAGCGAAAATATCCTTGCCTAGAATACGCAATCGTGACACCATAGAATCATTAGTATTGAAGATGTACACCATACGTAATGTACATCTGGAGTATTCAAAAGTTTTCATGCACGTAAAGGTGAAGTATTCAAGTCGAATGTGGCATTTGAATCCCAGAGTATTTCACACAAGGCTTGACGTACACCTAATGTATTCAAGATTATTAATAACTGGATCATTGGGTAATGCAATTCAAGAGTTCTCATTGCCTTATCCATCATGGTATATGAGCCATTATACCATGTTCCTACAAATTTGGCAAGCGTACAAGTAATTTTTTTTTATGAGGGGAGGGGGGGGGGGCATTTTTATTTTCCATATTTTGTGGGCGTTTGTAATGAAACAATTATTCGCTCGCGCTTGTTGGATATGACATGATTATAGCCCACTAGTCGCTTAATATCTACCATCTCTTATGCAACTCGAGCTGGCGGAAAATAATGTATTCACGGATGTACAAGTGACATACTCAAATGGAATTCGGAAAAGACAGGCCGGATACTAAAAAATCAAGTATTCCAGGTGTATTTTAGGACAGATGTCCTTGAATACCTCGGCTTCTTTCGGTATACGCGTCGTGCGCCGACCCGTGTTAGGGCAAATTCGGAACCGAATATCTGGCTTTTCGCGAAGTGATATCTCACTTAATAGCAGAGTGTGAGTTGGTGACGAGAAAAAGATTAAATTATTGGATGTTGTCTTGAGAAATCAACAAACATTAAAAGAAATGTGTAGCAATAAGGTAAAACAAATAGTTCGAAAGTGAATTTTTATTTGAAGGTGACTTAATGTTGACTGTAAACGATGTAATGAATGATGAAGTTCGGTTAAGACCGAGTACTAAAGTTCAGTCTTGTATAAAATGTTCACGATGTTCAATCTACTATACAAAACAGTCACAGTCAAATTCAGTGGCTGACAGAGCCTGTGGCAAGTCTATTACCACGCAATGTGCGACAATCAACCCATTCCTCATTCCCAGTACCCTTGCGCTCAATTCTAGTGTTCTTGCGCTTCTCTTGGTAAGTTCAACGATCTGTTACCATTTCAGTTAAAGACTTACGGAGGGCCACCAATCAATTAATTTCTCGACTGGCTAGCTGACCAATGTAGGCCTGTCACCAGTGACATCTACTATAATAGAAATAAGTTCCTTGTGTTCTTATCTACAAATGACGAATTTTTTCTTGAGGGGAAACAAAAACAAATGTCATAATTTCAACCACTTACAGTGTGACTTCTTCAGTCAAGTCTACCCAAGCAATTTTTTTCTAAACTAAACAAACCCACAGGGGAAGCGCAGGAAAGGCAGACCCCAGCACACCTGGAGGCGCACAAGAATGGCAGAGTTGGAGGAGAGACAGCTCACGTGGCAGGAAGTAAAGCGCACTGCTCAAAATAGGGACAAGTGGAGTACTAGTGGACGAACTATGTTCCACCAGGAACGAAGGGGATTGAGTGAGTGAGTGAAACAATAGCTTTTCATTGTGAAAAGGAATAAGATAGCCAGAAATTTATGGCTTCAAGTAGTGAGTAGCCTTTGTGCGGGAGTCTAATGAAGGAAATAAGAAGCGTATGCATGTATCCAAGCTAACAATGTGCATCTTATGAAGATCAATAACTGGTGAGAAGTCTATTGTTAACATCCAAACTTTAACTTCATCAATTTGCACAGATCTTTGTTGGGTGGGCTTGGTTGGAGTAACCGCACTGTTGGATTGCTAAGTTGAAAAAGAAGTTGGCTCCCGATTGGAGTCAATTCATGTATGAAATACGCAAGCAACCAGGCTATAACTTAATAATAATACAATATATTTAAGCGCTAATTCCATGAAGTAATTTCCAAATGCGCTTCACAATATAAAGTAAGTAAAAAGGGTAAAAATTACACTAATGAGGTAAATTCACACAGTAAAAATGGAAAACAGGAAACAATAAATGATTAAAATACTAGATCAAAATAGTGATGAAAAAGATCTACTGCACCAAAAATTATGATGAAAGTGCTGAATGAAAAAGGTGAGTTTTTAACTTAATTTTAAAAGTGTCTAACGACTTGGCATTTCTGACTTAAAATGGCAATACATTCCAGAGTTTTGGAGCTGCACAAGTAAACGACCTGTCACCAAGTGTCAATTTGGATCTGAAGGTACGTTGCTTGAGCAAGAGAGTGTCACTAGAACATCTAAGATTGTAAGGTGATCGAGACCTCAAAGATATCAGTGATTCTAGGTAAGAGGGAGCTGTGCCATGCAGGATCTTGAAGGTTAACAGAAGAATCCTGAATACAATTCTAGACTGATGTAGCTTGATAAGTAGAGATAAATGGACGTTACGAAATAATTGATATATACACGTATCAGACCGACTGAGCTTAACAATAACTTGTTTTTAAGTTGTGTTTTTTTAGTTTAAATAGATATTTACTTGTGACTGTAGTGAGATAAGTGAAATATATTGACGTACAACCTGAGTTGTAAATGAAAAAACGCAACGACAACGACAGTGATTGCAGTGCTTGTTTTTTTGTTGTTGTTGTTTACGTTGAAATTCACGAATTTCACCGAAGGTTTGCTTGTGATACCCATGTTCTGCATACTGATAAGTCACCAGACAATGTCTGTCTCAAATTGGAATTCATAAGGATGAATCCAAAGAAAAGAATGCTGTTGCTATTTAAGAAAGAGTTAATCTTTATAGTGATAACCCACATAGGCACTGGACTGGCCATAAACCACAACGTTTTAAACAATAACACTACATAATACCCTTAAGAATACACAATACTAAGTAAGTTGTACAACGTCGAGAGAGGGCTTTGGCTGATTCAATAAAAAACCTTCCCACGATCAGAAACCGTTATGATTTGGGACGTCACGCAACTTTTGAACACAGACCGTTGCAAAACAATATAAGTTACCTGGTTTCCAGTGTCTATGCAATTTCCCCTACCCCGTCCCACTCCTTCCCTCTCTTGCTCCAGGACGCGTAAATAAAAGATACCCTAGGAACGAGGTTCATTAAGAAGTTGTGATAACTTCCGGCATGCCACGTTTACTACATGTCAAAAATGTCACCTATAATATCATTACCTAGCCCCATTTGTAAAAGGGCTCCTAACCCTTGCAAAACAAAATCTAATGATGTGCTCCTACGAAAGCCTAATGCTTATCTTATTAAGTCAACGCTGATGAAGAGCTAAGTGCATGTTCTAATGGGTCGAACGTGCAAACTCCACCCCCACCTGACTCTGTTTGATAATTGCTGAGTATTGTTCTAATGGAATCAACTGATTTCAGTTTATGGCGTTAGTTGAGGCTTTCGTGTTCTGCAGAAAACAAAATGTAAATTAACGTAAAAATGTAAATTTTGTCGTCGCGTGCGCAGTTTAGAGAAAAACTCTCAGTCCCCGTGGGCAGTTGAGCCCGGGCCCTTCCGCACAACTGTCAGATGCTAATAATAATAATAATAATAATAATAATAATAATAATAATAATAATAATAATAATAATAATAATAAATTTTTTTTTTCTAAACAGACTGCAAGATCAAAAGGTTATGCTTTTGTGGAGTTTGCCTCTGATGAAGTTGCCAAAATTGTGGCTGAAACTATGCACAATTACATGATGTTCGGAAGATTATTAAAATGTGAGTATGGAGAACCAAAGAAAACTCCTTGTAACCACTTTTAAATGGATATTCATGAGCCAGGTGTACATCATTTTACACACACGTTCATTCATGCAAGGTAGGTTGACCAGCCATGTGTAGGGCAGGAAAAAAAGAAAAATTCTACCTTGCAATAAATTTTGAACCAACAGAATTCAATGGACCTTTTTACCATTGTCATGCTTTTCTCAATTTTTTCATTCAAACAAAAAGTACAGTAAGCCTCACTGATTGATTTATCATGCCAAATTTGGTAAATGTGAGAATTTTCATAAGAATCCATACCAAACTTGTAAAAAATGTGGGACCCCAAACCTGGCCCCTGTTAGACATTTCTTAGTAAAAATTGGCAAGATTGGAGTCCTGTATTTTCATGGGTTTGCAACAGATTCTTTTGAAACTTCGCACATTTCCTTAATTTTTGTTTATTTGGAAAAATTGTTGGTATTGCTTAAAAAGGTCCTTCAGTATTTCTACCGTTTTCTTTTTTTACAGGCAAAGTTATCCCAAATGACAGAGTCCATCCCAGGCTATGGAAAGGATCGAACAGAAAATTTCGTTTCATACCACGGCAACAAAATGAAATTAAGAAGCAAAATAAGGTGAGTGCCTTAGTCCAAACAAACAGGACAGTGTTCCTGTCTTAAGTTTCCTCTCTCATGATTACAGAGCACAAAGTCAGATAAAGGCTACTACAGGGAGTGAACAGACCTCTTTCATTGTTAGTATTTTTTCTATTTTTTTTATTGAATAATTAGTTATTTTTTTCAAAATTTGTCATGTACATGAAAACCACCTCAGTAGTAGTCGTGATGCAACACAAATATGCATTATTTAAATAAATGTTCCGCCTTGTCTTTAGTCTCTCATTTGTCTCTGATGCTGCCCATTACCTTGAATCTTTNTTTTTTTTTTCTAAACAGACTGCAAGATCAAAAGGTTATGCTTTTGTGGAGTTTGCCTCTGATGAAGTTGCCAAAATTGTGGCTGAAACTATGCACAATTACATGATGTTCGGAAGATTATTAAAATGTGAGTATGGAGAACCAAAGAAAACTCCTTGTAACCACTTTTAAATGGATATTCATGAGCCAGGTGTACATCATTTTACACACACGTTCATTCATGCAAGGTAGGTTGACCAGCCATGTGTAGGGCAGGAAAAAAAGAAAAATTCTACCTTGCAATAAATTTTGAACCAACAGAATTCAATGGACCTTTTTACCATTGTCATGCTTTTCTCAATTTTTTCATTCAAACAAAAAGTACAGTAAGCCTCACTGATTGATTTATCATGCCAAATTTGGTAAATGTGAGAATTTTCATAAGAATCCATACCAAACTTGTAAAAAATGTGGGACCCCAAACCTGGCCCCTGTTAGACATTTCTTAGTAAAAATTGGCAAGATTGGAGTCCTGTATTTTCATGGGTTTGCAACAGATTCTTTTGAAACTTCGCACATTTCCTTAATTTTTGTTTATTTGGAAAAATTGTTGGTATTGCTTAAAAAGGTCCTTCAGTATTTCTACCATTTTCTTTTTTTACAGGCAAAGTTATCCCAAATGACAGAGTCCATCCCAGGCTATGGAAAGGATCAAACAGAAAATTTCGTTTCATACCACGGCAAAAAAATGAAATTAAGAAGCAAAATAAGGTGAGTGCTTTAGTCCAAACAAACAGGACAGTGATCCTGTCTTAAGTTTCCTCTCTCATGATTACAGAGCACAAAGTCAGATGAAGGCTACTACAGGGAGTGAACAGACCTCTTTCATTGTTAGTATTTTTTCTATTTTTTTTTATTGAATAATTAGTTATTTTTTTCAAAATTTGTCATGTGCATGAAAACCACCTCAGTAGTAGTCGTGATGCAACACAAATATGCATTATTTAAATAAATGTTCTGCCTTGTCTTTAGTCTCTCATTTGTCTCTGATGCTGCCCATTACCTTGAATCTTTTGTGAGGTTGTTTTAATTTGTGAATTCTCCCGTGTGAGAAAAATATTAAGCAACTTCTTGTTGTTTATGTTTGGTCATGTATGTACCACATTATTACTCAGTGGTTTGGCCTGGTCTCATTGCACCAAGTAGTTATATCAGGATGTTAATCAAACACAGCAATTTTGACAGACTTATTAAATCTTCAAGTCATGATGTCAGAACACAAGTTCTTCTCATCCCTGATCTCTATACATTTTGTACAATACTAGTTGGTAGCATTTATATGTTAGAGGCAGCACAGCCAGGTGGTTTTGGGCACTGGGCCAGTTTTGTCTAGCTCTCCTTAAGTTCAGATGCATCCCAAGTATTGCTTCTGAACAGTAGGCAGGGCAGGAAAAAATCCAGGTCCGATTGCCGGGGGCAAGTAAATTTTACTTTTGGGCAAGTGAATATGGAAGTTCAGTGGCCCAGTGAGACTGAATGAAATGTGAGCTTGATAAATGATAAATGATAATTTCTAGTCAGATACCTTTTCAAAACTAATCAAGACTACAACATTAGTTAAACATTGAGTTGGATTAGTTAGGAATCCAAGCATACTTTGTTTATGTTTGTTCTCTGATTTCCATACTGGCCGCCATGTCTGATTGTCAGCAAGTAATATTTAAGTTGGGCAAGTGGAAACTGACATTTATTAGCTCACTGGGCAAGTGGAATTCAAATTTTGTTCCTGCCCTGGTAGACTTTTGTTTCCAAACAATATAGGATACACCTTAATTTAGTATTGATGGTGAATTTTGCTCTTAGACTTAGTTCAATTCATTCATCTGTCTTGTAACTGGCTTGATTTGTTCTTGGTAGTCCCAGATCCCACCAGTTCAGTTGATCACAGGTTTCCCATTTCTCCAGCTTCATACTCCTCACTGTGATAATAATTATTGAGTTTAACATCTTTCTTTTCTTCATTCCAGCCAAAGACACACGAGGAACATCAAAAGCAAGTGAGCAACATTCTCAAGAAAGAACAAAAGAAGAGAAAAAAGATGAAAGATCTGGGGATCGAGTATGACTTTCCCGGTTATGTAAGTTGTTATCCATGTTTGTTTTTCATTCATCCAAGACTCAGTTACCTTGCAACTTACTAGTCATTGGTATCTCCCCCTCCCCTCCCCTCTCCTCTCATGACCTTTTAGCCTCATTCCAGTTCTCCTCATTCAGTTATGAGGTACAACAGGATCCCAAGGAACAGAGGGGGGGTTGGGCCGCTTGGAGCTTCAAAGACCTGTTTTGATTTAAAGCCCTCAGCACAATGTTTTCCTCTTAGAGCCTGGCAATCTGATCCCTTAAGCCAGCTGTCCCTCTTAGCCATTGGGTCCTTGGGACAACACCAGTGAAAAGGTGGCTCTAAAGATGAGAATGGCAGCCTGGGCAATATTGGAACCCTGGGACACAGTACTTATTGCACTGGAGCTCATATTACTAAAATGATAACATAACAAATGCCACTGAAATGTTTGCAAGTCTGTTTCAAGGCTTTTTTGTTTGTGATATTTTCTCCCTTATCTTGTCTGTGTTTCTTTTTACAGGTTTCAGAGATAAAGATAAAACGCCCTAAACACACAAGATTCAGCAACAATGAAACTGAAGATTAGTGGTACACAGGGCCTTTTTTCTTCAAACTACCAAAGAGCAAAGAAGAGCCAAAACCTGTAATCAAACTGATTTTTCACCAGCATAAGGCAACATTTCTGAGTGTTGAGCACTTGCCAACAAGGACTGACAATATGCCTGCTGGATTGATATTACGGATCTGTTCTTAATGGAAAAACACTAGGACTGGATGTATGACCTTTGTATGCTACAAATATCAGAGCAATCCATGACAGCCAAAAAAGAACTCATCGTAAATGGTAGAAAGCTTTTATTTGAAGAGACTTTTTATGACCAAGAGATTTCATGTTTCACACGATATTCTGGCGCATGCCTGACTTTTTAAAGTTTGTTCATTTCGTAAATCCTCTTCAATCCTAGTTATCTGACTTTTAGAAGTCAAAATAACAAATAAACAACAACCAAAGCTTAAAGGCTATCGCCTTCTGTGCCACTTTTTTGTTCTTACCACAGTATGACGTCATCTGTGATCTATTACTGAACAGACGCATGGCAACATGGAATCTGTTTGTTAATGTAATAATAATAATGATGATGATGATAAACTAATATTTGACGAGGAGGCCTCCAATCACCTAGAGGTTGTTTTCAGGAGGGTCCCCTAAAAAATAGAAGTCTAGAATATATATTAAGCATCTAAAATACAAAAGTAATAAAAGCTAAAAACGTGATACTAAAACTAAGGTTTAAAACTAGAACTAGGATTTAAAATCTACTGCTAACTAAGGTTAAACATGGTCAAGTAAAAACTGTTTCAGTTTGTATTTAAAAATCTTTTTTGGTGTAAGTTTCTTCAGCTCACTTGGCAGTGAGACCCAATGTTAAATATTTTGAAGTCATGAAATCATTGTTGTTCATGAAATGATTTTTGTTGGGTTTCGTTTTAAAATCATACGTGGCCATCTTTCGTATCTGAATGATGAAAGGCAAATGTACATGTCTTTGCAACTTCAACAGGCTTGCAGGCTATGCGAATTGCTGAATCCCTCAGGATCTTCATTAAATGGCTTTAGGCCCTTTTGCGCGCTTTGAAAAAAAAATCACATTTTCCCGCTGCACGTAANTAAGGTTAAAAATGATAAGTAAAAACTGTTTCAGTTTGTATTTAAAAGTCCTTTTTAGTATAAGTTTCTTTAGCTCACTGGGCAGTGAGACACAATCGGTTATTACTAGTGTTAAGCTACTGTAGATTATTTACTAAGTTCATACGAAAATATATAAACCTGTTTTCGGTTTATTGGCTGAAAGGAATGTTCAATATTTATCAATGGTCATGTAAATAAACCGTTTCAAGCTAGTTTGATGTCATTTGAAACAACTGATCAACCAAATCAACCGAAAACGGAGATTTCACAACAGCACACGAAAACCGCAACTAACCCAACCACATGAAATCGGTTGACCCAATAATGAATGAATGAATGAATGAATGAATGAATGAATACCTTTATTTTAGTGTCAAACTAAAATAGCAGTAAATAACCACTAAAGGGGGACACTATAAATAAATTAATAATAACAACAAGATCTAAGTGTTTACTGTTGTGTTGCCGATTAAACCATTCTACGGTTGTCTTTTCAGTGACCTGGGGCCCGTTTCTCGAAGATCCCGAAACATTTTCGCACCCGGAAAGCGGTAACAAAATCTCAGACCTTATGATTACAGAGCTGTTCTTTTCACATATTCTTAGTATAAACAGAGGTTCCATTCCGTACAAGAAGTTTCAGGCGTATACACCTCTCTGTCTTTAAATACCGATTAACTAAAAATGGCTTTTCGGGCCCGAAAACTTTCCGGGGCTTTCGAGAAACAGGCCCCTGGCCAGTGAATGGCAGCGAGCCTGCAGGTGACCTTTTTCCGATTAAGCCCTCACTGCTTTTGTTGTGTAAATTAAGTTGTTCTTATGCTAACTAGCTGCCATTTAAATGAGAAAAGCAGAGAGGTCTGTATTGCATTCATAGGCTAGGTAACTATGCACACAACTGTGAAATGGCCTATTGGTGATGAAAAATACATTGAAACTGAGGGAAGATCTCGGCCTTTCAACCACACCTGCGTTCATGCATTCGACTCATGCTCCACATTTTCAAACCGCTGTGCAGCAAACTGCTTGGTGCCGCGGCGCCACTGGAAGTACATCACGGCTATCAACAAAACTGCGAATAACACACCAAGTAGAATGACAATACCAGCTATCAGTCCACCTTCGTTAGGGGCTATCTGGCGCTCGTTTACCACTGATATTAAAGCATTAAAAAATCACAGTTAATAACTCAAACAAGTCAGTAAAATTCATCAAGCAGGCTCTTGCAAAGTGGCGCAAATCTCCTTAATTCTTTTTTGTTTAATCTTGTTGCGAAGGAATAGAAAGAAGGGGAAACGGACTTGCAGTCGTTTAGTTCAGAAGCACACCTGTGGGAAAACCTATCTGCTTTGATACACAGTGGAACCCCCCATCACCTCGTTAATACAGTCACCTCGTGGTTACGGCCACTTTTCGCTGTTCTGGGGAAACGCCCATTTATTTTCTTATAAGAAAAACCGGTTAATACAGTCGACACGTTAATACAGCCAACGGCCGTATTCTGAAGTCTCAACTTGGATATTCCCTGTACATTCCTTTACAGTTTTACCCCGTTTGTACGGCTACTCAAACCAGTTATTTCATCTTTCCATTGTTAATATTGTATGTACTATCATTGAACTTTCAATTTTTGTAAACAATTATATGTACATTGTGGATGCTTATTAAAGAATAGTTGTTTAAAAGTGTAATTAACGGCCACCACTGTATGAGGTCATTCCATCCGCAAAACTGTTTAAAGAATATGCTATAAACATCCTCTCTATGGTTTTAGAATTGAGAAGCAAGAAGTGTTGGTAACAGAACATGATTTCTAATGAAGATCGAATCTTATTTTTCTCTTACAAAATCTATTCTTGGAGATATAGTATTCATGAATTGAAGAAGCTGGTTACGCAGTAAGGAGAATCTGGGCTTCGAGCTTGGTGGAAAATGTGCCAATCCAGCAAATCAACCACACGCGTCACCAAAGTCATTTGCAACAATTGATCGTAACAACAAATAACGCTTGTTAGAGCGGTTTTCAATTGAGTGTCGTAAGACCAAATACCAGTTAGACTACTCAGCGAGTCTCAAACCGTAATAAAACCAAAACCAAACCAATTACTTACCAATTTGACCACTCAGCCAATCTCAAACTGTAAAACCAAAGTAATTGCCTGATAACTTTGGACACTCAATTGCAAACCGCTGTAAGACCCCCTTCCCATTGTGACTTTGGTCCTGCAAAGCGTATTCACGTCAATGTACATATATAGATGTACCATTTCTGAAGGGCATTGGCAACAATACACCTAGTAAGGGATGGTGAGGGCGGAACTTGTGATCGGTATCGTATTCCACCAATCTATAATGCATCCCAACCCCACCCCTGTCGAACTCATGATACATGCATACCTTCCACTCTCTTGACGGGCCACGCAACCGGGAAGACAGTCAGATGACACAACCCTTTGTTTTTGGGGTCATCGCCCTCCGGGTATATCATAGAGCACTCTGGCATAGGTATGTTATTTTTCTCGAATTCTCCTCCACAATCTCTTCTTACCTGAAGAAATGACAATAAACATCGATGGCCGTTGTAATACATCAAACACAAGCAGCATTTCATTAAATTTACAGACAATGAAAATAAAGTTGAAACACGATGCACACTGAGTGGCGCCGTATTTTTGACGAAATTCGAGGTGTTTGGAATAGACTGCGGTGAGCAGTCTCTCTTTTCCTCGAAAATCCGTGGGAAGGAATTTCCTCGAAAATCCGTGGGGAAGAACGCAAAACAGGTAAGCGTGCGAGCGTGACTGTGAGCGTGACGTGCGAGCGGTGATGTCGCCAGCCGCTAGAAGCGCGGGCGTCGGAAGCGCTATTAGCGGCTCGAGGCATCGCCGCTCCCCCATCACGCTCATAGTCACGCTCGGACGCTTACTTGTTTTGTGTTCTTTCCCACGGATTTTCGAGGAAAAAAGAGACTGCTCGCAGTCCGTGTCTCAGATGTTTGATATACATGCATCTTCTCAATCGAAAAGCACACAAAGTGGCAAACGGATAAATTCTATCCTACAGCTAGTTCAGATTGAATCTCCAAACCAACGCCACAGTTACGCTATGATTTCTTTCGTTAAAATGTGCCAACGTGCTCGAGAACTTTTCATATCACATTACTTTGACTCGAAAAGTTGCGCACTTTCGATAATAATAATAATAATAATAATAATAATAACAATAACAATGACAATAACAATAGTAACAATAACAATAATAATAATAATAATAATAATAATAATAATAATAATAATAAATAATCTTCAATTAGGAGGCCTACGTCACAAAGTGGTTGACAGAAGGGTCCTCTATTAAGATTAAACAAAAGTAAAACTAGGAAAAATGATTTTAAAAACTAATATTATATATAACTATACAGAACTAAAAATATAAACGTTTTAATAGATAAGAACAAAAGGAGACAGTGTTAAAAACTATGCATTATGCTTATTACATTAAACTACAAATTAAAGTTCGGCTTCGGAAAGGCGACTCTTAAATGCCGCTATGGTTGGCGATTCTCTAAGTGTTACATGCATGTCTAAGGAGTTACATACATCCGCAGCAAAATTTCGAGTGGTCCAATGTCCCAATCGAGTAATGGCAATCATCGAGTAAATCAGTCATGGAATGGAAATCATGGAGTAGTCTGTATTAAAAGCTGTGTTTAAAAGAAACGAAATGCAAACCTACTTGCTCACAGATAGATCTGCAAGGCACAAACACGGACAGATCGTTGGGCTTACATGGAGGGACAGTGGTGTAACACAGGTGCTTTTCTAACTCTGGTGAACATTTGGAGTCCAAGATGCTTTGTAGAACAGTTTCGCTGGACTGATCTTTCTCCGGGACAAACGTCTGGTTGTAATGCAGATCTGTGGAGCAGTATTTTGGTTCCACAACTTTGCTGCATTCGCCACCACGTCTGGGAGCTAGAGAAAGAAAGCGGAATGTACAACTACAAAGTACTATATTCAAATACTCCCATCAGGGCATGTATCAAATTACAAAACTATAACCTTAACTGTTGAACATTCTAATCATTATTGTTACAAATACTAACAGGACTTTAATTTAGATATATACATGTATGTTCATGTAGTTAAAAACACGTTGAAGAGTAGGGCCTGGAGTTCCATCTTAACACTTTCTACGCTTTAGCAGTTCCTCGACTCCTCAGGTATAGAGCTCCATGCAGTTACTGCTCTACAGTGAAAGGTCCGCTGTCCAGAGGATCAGGACTTGCATAGATGGATCTCAATTTTGTCTTTGTTTCTTGTTCTATTGGAGTGTACGTCGGATCTTTTCACAAACGTTTCACTTTGGGATAAAAGGACAAGGCCTTTCGCACACCTGAAAGCCATGACGCTCTCACCAAGCTTAACACTGTAACGGCAATGGTAGCAACGAGAGCAGAATGGGCAAGGATAGTGGAGTGTAATTAGCTTAGAATTGGGATGAGGAGGACGTGCTCATATCCATGATCACTGCTGTAAATTCTAACCTAAAAGGCCAGCTGGTCAACCTCTCACCGGACCAGCCATACCGAAAACGTATGATTCGCACCGCTAGAAGATTTTGACCTGGCCTGGTGAAAGAAAGTGCAAAGCCTGCAGAAGAAAAATATGATCTAGCTGTACTCGTTACATGAGTCATATCGGTAACAATCTTTAAGATTGTTTAAACACCTCCTGCACCTTATTTGCTGGTCGTATCTTCAAGGAAGTCTTATATCTCGTGTTATTTAAAACTGGATCATTAGATAATACAATCCGAGAGTTTTCATTGGCTTAGCTACATGGGTTATGAGCCATTATACCATGCTCTGCAAATATGGTAAGCGTACACGTGAATTTTGGGGCGTTTTTATTTTAGTTTAGTTTTTTTATATTTTGGGGGCGTTTTTTAATATAGGAATTATTTCCCTTGCGCTTGTTGGATATGAGATGATTATAGTCATCTCATATCCAACGCACGCTGGTGGAATAATTGTTTTAAAATTACTTGCCGTTAATTTATCTGGACCCACAACCTCGTTTTAGGCCATTATTAGCCCGGGAGGCGGGGGGAACTTCCATATAAAAAGGAGGGCGGTGCTCGTCGTACGTACCTTTTAGAGGTTAAAAAAGAAGGTTTGGCTGTTCAGTCTCAAAAGGTTCCGCAGCCACGAGCTTTCACTGTACCTGTTAGGGTATTGAGCCTCAAAAAGTCAGTGTCAGTTAATGTGTCGTTTAAGAGCTAGTACCCCTTGGGGTGAAAAAATTCAAGCCACGCCCACAAAAAAGGATGTTGGTACCTCTAAAGGGTTCTTTTCAAAATTTCCGATGAACACCCCTGTCGTTTTTATACGGGAGTCCCCCCGGGTTATTAGTACTTACCAAGAGCGTCAGTAGTGCTTGGCGTAAACCCCTCGGGTATGAAACAAGTGGTAGGGGAAAAATCCTGCTGCGGTAACAAATCACAGAGTGCTCTGAACATGCCCGCGTGTGAGGCCAGCGCAAGAAGTCCCTGACACTTGCTAACAAACTCCAAACAAACGCTGCGGCAGGGAAGGACTGGGTTTGGCGATCCCGTCATGCACTTCGGCATGTAAAACGAACACATTATTGTCTTGCCATATGGTGAACAAGTGTTCAGAAAATCCAGGAAAAACTCCAGATTTTTTCCTTTGACTTCTTGATATGGCTGACCGTCAATCGCTGGGAAGTCCGCAGTGAGATCATAACCTGCCCCTTGACAAGCCTTGGCTGTGAGAGGAACACACTCTGTAAGCCCATCTGTGAATGTAAAAAAAAACCTATTAGCTGAAGATTAACTTCATCCATATTTTATGCTTTGCATTTTGCAGCATTTTGTGACTAGCAAGGATTTGAACGTCAACAGAAGTTATTTCCTCCTTGACAATTTAATAAAACTAAACTAGAAAAGATATGATGGAATAATTGTTAACCTTGGTAGAAATTTAAGAAGCATTATTATCCGTCTGTGATGCATTCAACTTAGCCGAAGTTTCTGTAAGTATCTCGAACAAAGTGCAGATTTGTCTTGATGGCAAAACCTCTAGCAAGAGTGGTGAAGCTACTCAAAAAAGAAGTAGTAATCCTGAGCTCTCAGAACACTCATGAGTCCAAACTATGACCTTCTGCACACTGCTGTATGACTTTAGCAGCCTAACAGACTGACTGATTGACCAACAGACTAACTGACTCAATAAATGAACGACTGACTGACTGAACGACTAACTGTCTGACTGACTGACTGCTGACTGACTGACTGGCTGTACGGACTGACTGACTGGCTGACCGACAGACTGACTGACCGATTAACTGACTGATTGACTGCTAACTGAGTGACTGGCTGACTGACTGAGTGACTGACTGACTACTTACTGACTGACCAACCAAGTTGCTGTCAGATTGACTGACTGACTGACTGACTGACTGACTGGCTGACTGACTGACCAACCGACCGACACCCAACTGATCAGCCAACCAATGGCCAACTGAACAATCGGCTTACTGACTGACTGACCAACCAACTGACTTACAGGCCGACTGTCCAACTGAAAGACTGACTGAGGACTGACTGACTGACAGACAAATGGACGGATGGATGGACGGACAGACGGATGGACTGACTGACTGACTGACTGACTGACTGACTGACTAATCAACTGACCAAGAGGCTGGCTGGTTGATGCATTTTTTTCAACTGATCAGGCCTTACCTGACACAGGGGGAGATGGATCCGGAATTTTCCATGGCCATGGAGCAGGCCACTGCTTCAAGTCACACAGTCCATTAGAACTGTCTCCTTCTGGAAATAAGTAGTCACAGTGAAGAGCAGGTATACTGTTAGCTTTCAAAACAGCACCGCAGTCACGAGTGATTCTCTTACAGAACTCCCTGCAAGGCAGATGAACTACAGATATATCAGCTGTGCAGGGAGGCATGCGGGTTTGGCACAAGTATTTCTCAATATCAGGTGAGCAACCTGAGTCTATGATTGGCTGCAAGATGGTAAACTCAGAAGCTTTCTGATCCTCTGTTGGCAAAAACGTTTTTTCATAGTGGAGGTCTGAGGAGCACTTGGTAGACGTGACTTTGTAACAGACATCCCTGACAGAGACTACAAATTAATGTAACACACAATATTTCAGCAATCGACACAATTTTTCTACAAGGAAATAACACAGTGATGATATTTTTGTAATACATGAAGTAGCTTAGCAGCCCATATAATTTATGTGAATTACGAAAATTAAAAAATAATTAAGATAATTTGAGTGTCTTCAAAACAACAACAAATAAACAAACAAAAAAATAAACACAAAGTGATCACAAAGTTAATTTAACTTGGTTGTCATGCTCATATGATTAATTACCTAATTTTGGAAATTCAAGCAAAAACATGTAACAATATTTCGTACTAATTGACCAATGCATACATAAATGCATATGTAGATCTGTAAATAAAACACCAGAGGTGCAAACAAGGTTAAGCGTTTTAAATAAACAAATTAAATGTATTTTTTTTTTCGTGGGCTACTGTGTAACATATTGTGATTTGAAAGAGTTTTATATGTTGTTGGTATGTCGGGGCTAGTGGATATAATTCTTTGTTAAAACCAAATAAGAACAGACTATCGGAAGTCCATCTTTTGCTTACTCCATCCTGTGTGACATGAAAGAAAACCAAGTAAAAAATGGCTGCGTGACTTCCTGGGGGCACAAAATGCCTTTGCACAGCCATTTTTCACTCACAGTTTTTTTACAGTCATGCTCGATTCACTAAGCAAAAGAGGTCTAAATAAGATTTAGCCATTACCTACAGGGTTGGACACTTAATTTTGACAGCACTCACCATTCGAACGAGTGACCCTCAAAATGCACTTGCCCGAACCAGTTTTCACTCACCCAAAAGTTTATCCCCCCACCCCCCTCGTATTCCCTCATATCATGGGCAGGTTTCGGGGCTTTTTCGTTCTTTTCGTTGTGAACAACTTAAGAAACTCCGGAAATACATTTCCACATTTTGGCCTTGATCAGTTTACTCCATTTTTAAACTTACCGGGAGAACATACATTGATCAGAGTGCTGGGAAAGTATGGGAAAAAAATTGATGATTTGCGCTCAACCGACACTTTAGACAATTGCCTGGGTGAGCGGGCGAGTGCTAATGTATATCCCTGTACCCATAGATATTTTGTTAATCAAAATATATGACTAGTAAAAAAGAAAAAGATTTGGGCTTAAGATTATCTCAGTTACTGCCTAAAACTCAAGAAATCAATGTAATAAAACAAGTAAATGCTTGGCATACATACACAGCTGTGTACTGGAACTACTCAGAAATTTCTCCGGCATGATGCACTTGATGGGTGTCCCATCATACACTGGAAGGAGGTCGCAAAGTGCAATCATCATTCCCACAGTTGACACTAATCGCAGTTCAGCCTTGCACTTGTCAGTAAAATCCAAACAAACTTGACGGCATGGTAGCATGGGTCTACTGCTTCCAGAAACACATTTTGGAAGAAACAGGGAACAGAGAATTAAGCTACTGTAGGGAGAGCATGTCAACAGCGGGATAAGCTGATCCAGTAGATCTCCTTTAATATCTTGGAAGGACTTGCCTCCCAGTTTAGGATATTGTGCTATGTATTTGTATCCAGCATTGGCGCATGACTTCACTGTGAGTTTTTCACATGTACCAAGGGCTGTTAACAAAAATTGTTATCAAATGAATACTCATTAATCAGTCAGGACTGGAGCTATGGTATGAACCTGTTCGGTTAATATACAAGTACTGTATAAAGTGAAGACAAGTCCAAAGAGAGGCATCATAAATCTAACACTTAGATCAAAGTGATGCACAGATAAAAGTGATATGAGTATTCGCATTTGCAGCTATGATCACCTTTTAAACACTGATCAAACTCTGCAGGGCTGTCAGTAGGTTTTGAGTCCTGTGTTTCCTTAATCTTCACAACTTAATAACAAATGTGTTACATTGTGAATGATATCCACAACAGGCAAGTTCACCACTTAATGTCAAGGGCCAGCATCATCCATATTTAGCTGTAACAGGTGTTACAGGTTACAGCCCTATATGTCAGCCATGAATCTATGAGTGCCTAGCCACACAGACAAACATACATTGCATGGTACCATTAAAAGTGTCTGTCTGAAAACTATCCAGCTACAGGTAAACTGCCATACTTACGGGGTGGTGGTGGTCTGAATTCCTCAGGCCAAGAAGCCGGCCACTTTTCAACTTTACAAAGGCCTGTTGAATTATTTTTGTCGGTTCTGGGATAAATATAGTCACAGTGCGGCAAGGGTAGACCAGAATCGATGAACTGCTTCCAGCATTGCTTGTTGATTGTATCGCAAAGTGATTTGCAGGGCATGGTTGTCTCACGTGTGCGGTTAGGATCACATGGTGGAAACTGCGTGTAGCAAATAAACTTTTCCAGCTCAGCTGAACAGTTGCTGTCAATAATCACTTGAAATAATGTATCTTCTGCAGTTTGTAAACTGACAGGAACTAAAGTTTTGCTGTAGTGAAGATCATTCTTGCATCTCTGGTCTACAACATCATGACAAACATTTGTTGCTGGCCCTGCAAAAATGAAATAACAGAAGTTTTTATCTTTATCATCTTACTTAGGGAATATAAATTACTTTATTGTGATTCACAGGCTGAGAGTGGGAAAAATTATTGTAATTTTAAATTTTCAGAGCAGTGCAAATTAACCTGGAGCATTCACAATTTTCTCAGTCTTTTAAAAAATATTATTATTTATAAAAATATTATTGTATGACTGAAATAAATATAATTAAAAATGGGTTTAATTCCTGGGTTCTTGATAACATCAATTTAGGAAAACTTTTAATTTCCTCATCTACAAAAGTGTTTTCTGCTGACCTGTAGACTTAAGGCTTTTACTTAAATTGTCTGAGGCATACTTTGTTTTGGAAGTCCCACTGTGTAACTTGCGTTCCAGCATAATTAATTCCGTACCATGTGACCGGATCCTGCAAAGGGCCTATTTTATTCCTTTGTCGGTTTACAATTGGAATTGTCGTCATCTTGGTTTTCTGTACTTGCACTGAATCCAGATACGGTACATTTTAAGCTGACGCCCGCGATTCACTTGCAGTCTGCGGTCGACGTAGTTCTGTTCTTCCACAAGTCCAGCCTCTTGGAACATCTGGGAAAGGTCCTCTGAAAATACCAATCATGGTTTATTAATTAAAATCTGGACGTAACGCGCTTTAACAAATCGTAAGGATACCCTGAGTCTTCGATGGTACTGGTCAGTGGGAGGAAGGGAGAAAATGCTCTGGGAACGACGCAACCAAGGCGAGGTGGGATGGGGCTTTGGGAATATCAGCGGTCTCTGGTGGGCGCAGTGCACTAAGCAGTTTTCTTTTATTGGTGTTGCCAAGAAAAATCGTCATGAGATCGCTGCTACTACAAAAAGAGATTTTGGTTCATTGCAATATCTTTATGCTGATTTACCCATTGAGCTGGTCAATCATAAAGCCAAGCGGCGAAATTAAATTCTGCAAATTGCACGTGCAGTTGTTTGCTTCTTCATCGGCTGAGAGATTAGGAAAACCAATGAAAAGTTGGCAGATATATGTGTTGAATAATTAAAGTAACAAAGCGACGAGTTTCAACTGTTTTAAATACTGTACATCAGAGAAACACTGACAGTAAGAGTCATTTGAAAGAATTCGAAATACCAGGGAGTTGTTTATGTCACAACTTTTCCCTCGTACCCGCTAACTTTGTATTGATTGACATGCAATGATTGACAGGCGTGGGCTTGCATATTGAGTTTCTTTATAACTAGGTCCTTATTTGTGTTAAAATCGATTAAGAATTCCCCATCAATAGGCAAATTCTTAAACAGGAGCACAATAATTTACCTACAAAAATAATTTTATGAATGGCCAAGAATTGATCTTATCGGATCGCCCACATTACATAGATGAACGTCATTCTTAAAAAAGTTTGCTTTTTCGCCATTAAAACTTGCTTTGTCACAACCGCAGAATATTCTAACGACTGAGTAATTATTGGTTTCAGTTTTCTCAGTCGACTGAAACGGAAATGATTGTAAGCACTTAACTCCAACTAAACACCAAAACGAGAAAAGAAAACATAAAAAACAAGTTGGCTAAAATTCGTTTAACTCTCTCGTTCACACTTGAAATAACAAATCTCCCTGTTTTATATTTACAAGGTTGCAAAGATGGCGCGAGACAGGAGGCTGTATGGGACTCGGGTTAATAATTTCGTTATTTTTGGTCTTTATGGAGGGATCTTTGCTGATATTATTTACACTTTTCCTCATTAAAATACGACTTTGCGTAGAGAAGGCATCAGGCTAGATACAAAATGACTAAAAATATTTAAAGAGCTCGTGAAACTTAGTAATATGGTGAAATATTTGGCTCTTTGGACTTAAAATTCAAGGCGAAATTGGTTTTCAAAAACGGGAAAATTTCTGGGTTGTAAAAGCGCTAATGAGCTTCGCGCAAGAAGTATTTAATACATCGGGTTCAAATTCCTCAAGACAGTGAACCATGCTATGCCCTTTCAATATTCAGAACTAATGTGTTTGCAGCTGCATCAGAAACTGTATCGCTTATGCCAACGAGGCAAATATTATGAACAAAGATTCCTCTATACTCGGCAATCCAAACAAGCATACGAAAAACTGGAGAGGCGAATTACGCAGACTTCATAGTAAAGCAACAACTGATTCCTCTACAGCGTGGCAAGCACTCCTATGGTGTCTTTTCGACTCTTTCGAGACAACACGAAAGGATATTTGGCTAGATTTGAATTTAGCCTGGGCCGGGCACAACACGCGTTCGTGAGAAGAGAAAGATCTCGTCCCAATCCCTTTTCGTCCGTTCGTGACCGTTCGCGAGGATAACCTTTCTTCAGATCTTTGGAGAAATCTGGGATTAGAAGCCGTCTAAATCCCTCAGAGTTGATGAGTAAAATATCTTGCCACTTATCTTAGAGAATCAGGGCATTTCAAAAATAAAGGCTTTGCGGGAATCGTTTGAAATAGAATTCTCGCACTCAGAATTTCACGCCTCTCAAACATGGCGGGAAGCTCAAGAATTGGCACTCTGTGCCCGTCAACCTTTCTTAATGAAGCTTTTCTTTTTGGCGCCTTTAATCAATGTATTGATTATGTAAGGAAAATTGATATCAATCAATCTTAGTGTGACGGTGAAGACCCAAGTTATTCCACGCCGGGCCTGTAGATCTGCAAGGTCACCAGACGGGAATTCGTGTTAAGTGGCATCTCTCTTCGTCGACAAAATCAATTTTCGGTCTTAATTACACTATTCTTTTAATTAACGAGCTCCAAAACTAAAGTCAAGCGTCAGAAAAACTCAGTGACTATTTTTATGCTCTGGAGACACTCCTGTGCAGAAAATTACGCTGAGTTTCTTTCTATCCACCCGACAGTGGCCTTCTCTATTTTGTCTCCATTTTGGCCACCCACACTCTAAGGTTTCCTGGATTTTTCGTTGCGTTTTTTCAACAATTTTTCAATATAATTTTGACGTTAGTTTAAGGTTTCATTTAGCTTCAAGACTTGCTAGTCTTTTTCAAGAACTCTGTATTTGACACACAAAACCATATTAAATGCAGCTTGTTTACTTAAAACCTAGAATTTATCAATTTTGGCCAAACATCCCATAGGTTGTGTAATAGGAGAAGAAAGCTACGCTATTCTGCCGAGAGCGTTGGCACGAGAACCAAAGCAATCAATGATTGAATGGTCGGACGGCTCGAAATTAAATTTTACAGGAAAACAAAGAGATTCTCTTCAGCACAGGAAGTGGAAATATAGAAACCAACACGGCAAACCAAAATGATGCGCGAAGATTTGTATGCCAAAGTCACCACGTACAGTGGGCACGTAAAAAACCACAACAAAGTAAAAACTGTGACCCATTTTGAAGCAGGTCAAAGCATTGTAGTTACAATACTGTAAGCTTTCCTTGTTTGAAGCCGGGGATAATCGCGCAGCATGAACGCTGTGCCGAATCAATGTTTTTTACTAGTCTATTTTATTTATTTTCCTCGTGGGGAAATTTCAATCACGGAGCTTCAATTTTTGGGCCAAAGTCCTGCACAAATCATTTCGTGCAATTATTTTTTTTTTACCATTCATTCATTCATTAAACTCCCACGTCACTTTAAGGTCAGTGCAACAGGTTTTCTTTCGTATATTAAACGAATCAAGGCGGTGTTGTCGTAAACTGAACAAATGGCGGTTGTTTCAGTGAGACAACGCTAAAATCGTACAGCAGGTTTAGTTATGTTTACTACTGACCTATACAATATTATTTTTTTCAAAAAGCCAAGCGACTCGCTACCTGCGAACCTTTTTCTTTTTGAACAAAATGGAGAAACACAACAGACGCACTCGCACAAAACGCGGTGGCATTTTTGCGGCCGCGTTCACGCTGATTTACACACCTGGTTTACAAAAGCGGCGTTTAAAACTGAAGCCGAACGTTTTAATAACCTTTATTAGAATCACTTTAAACCAAACGACTGAGAAAAAACGCGAGAAATGTTTTCCGAGGAAGGAATTTCGCAATTACAATAAATTTACTTTCATTACAAATCACGTGAAAATGGGTGTTTTTGATTTCATAGTCCATAGAGCAGGTCGTAAATAGACTTTGATTGTGTTTCGATTGTATTACAAAGGAAAATAACCTTGCTAACTGTGAACAAAGGCTTGCACTTGCGTCTAAAAACAAGCAGGAACACCCTCGGTTGAATGCATGGCGTCATGTTCCCAAATTAATTGTTTGTCTACAACTTGAAAGGGAAATAGGAAGTCATTACATCTTGTAAAGAAAACACTTTTGTCTTGAACAAAATCTGCAAGCACGTCCGACGAAGAAAGGATCGACTATTGCTGTGTCGTCAGGGCTGATTATGGAAGCTTTTCAATCGATTTATTCGGCGTAAAAACGCAATCACTACATTAAAATGAACAGGCACTCAACAGACTGTAGTTATAACTTCCTTCAGTTCCAAAGCTAATTGCAATGTCTTAGCAACGTCTCCGGCGCTATGAATTCCGGACGCCTTCAAAACTTCCCTAAAGAAGGATCGCTAATTTACCACTCATTTCAACCGATTGTCACTTGAAGAATTAACTTGTTATTGAATGAAATGAGAGCTTTTATCGTGTCTTAACAGCCGTGATGGTAGCCTACCTGGGTCACCTCGGTCACTTGTTTCCGCTGTGCCCTATGAATTGATGAGTCACCCCGGCGAGCATTTTATTTTTTTCGGGTGATTAAAATACAAGCTACCCATACTTCTTCAAAATTTTGTAATCCTGCAACTTCGGAAATATACATTTAAAGAAAAAACTTTTTCTGCTTCAGGCGATGCTTTTCATGTACACGAACAGCACGGGAAAAAGCAAGCCTCCGATTAGTAGAAAGAACCATTTTGATGTTTAGATACAAATAAGTCGAACTTGGCTTCCAAACTGATCAAGTTTGCCTTCTAAAGCAAACACCTCATCAAGTTAATTTGCAGTTTAAATTGATTGAAACTCCGCAAAGGAACCACAAAATAAAGAAATTCGTCCCTAATCACTGAGAAAGAGCTTAAAAAAGAGAACATATAACGTGACAAAAACAACTTCAGTCCCTCACGCATTTCGCTTTCTCAACATATGGGACTTGCGCCAAGAAATACTATTCCCTGCTTAAAAAATAAAACACTCTAAGACACGGGCATAAAATCTAAAAAAAGAAGAATGTGGCCAGCAGATCCAGATAATTTAGCAGGAATTTAGGATCGAGTTACCGCTGAAGGGCGAGCAACATTTTTCCCATTATACAGCCGACAGGTTCTTATCTTAACAGCATCCACAATATAAGGAGATTGTAAATAAAATTCCGCTCATTGCTCTGGGAATATCAACAAGGAAAAATTTGCCTTCCTTCTGTTGATTTTCCACGTAATCCCGACACAACAAGCCCGGATTAAAAGAATGCACGACTTCCTATAGTTAAGATTAAAACCCAACCGTTATGAGATTGTCATTTGAAATGAGATATAAGGTGGATAGGTTCTTTCAAGGAGATGCTTTCTCCTTGGTAATTAAAAAATTCCGAAAAGACAGGTTGTTGGTTGCTAAGAGAGGGCTTTGCAGAATTTCATTTCGTCCATCAAAACCAAGTGTCACCTTGGCTCGTTGTTTTGATAAACTTTCGACGTCTTCCCCGAAATGTAATATTCAAAACAAGTTCTGTAATCTTGGCCTTGTAGGTTTTTTTTTAAGCGACACGATATTACTATCGAGTCACCTGCAATGCTGATGGTTTACAGGGAGCAGAATTTAGTCTCTTGCTAAGGAAAACCTACACCGCTTCAACATCTGATCAGCTAAGAAAGGAAACCAGAAGAGTTTTGATAACAGATTATTAACTCCCCGTGAAGGTTAAACAGGCGCTGGGCCGGGTAGCATCGTTAATTGTTATTACACGGGCCGAAATGCAAATTTTTGGCCTGAAGCGATTTATCGATAGTGTTTGATTTTGATTTGCAGCGCGACGTGTATTGAGGTGTTATTGTTCGAGTTAGTTAATTATCCTCTTGTATTGACTTTCGAATCATAACAATGGCGAACAATGGTAATAAACTCGCATCACCTGTTGTTTTTTTGCTCTTTAGTTCAAACAAGAACTGATTTGCTGTGAAGCCTTGAGCCTTTTTTTAACGACCTTGGAATTTCCTTTGGTTTGAACCCCTTCAAACTGAAGGAAGGGCGAGACGCTCGTATACTTCAAGTCAATTAAGCCTTTTGTTGACTGGCTGAAGCACAGGGTGTGCACTTAATGGGGTTTTTACCCGGGTTTTCCAAATACGGTACAGCTTCTTAATTTTGACCCGAAGCCAGCCCCCCGGCGCGGATTCACACTAATAATGTGTTACACCTGACTTGTGACGTCACGATCAAACAACCAATAAATGCGACAGACGCTAAGAAGAGCAGAGTCGCCCTTCACAACTCCCAACTGCACGTTAATCGGAACACGTTCCGATCTACTAAACAACAGCCCGGCAGAGAAATACTGTCCGACAAATTTGGCTGACTAAGCCTGCGAAAAATGCCGAAAGCATTCTTAGTCAAGAAGAGGACGGAAAAGCTCAAGAAACTGCCTTCGAATGTGATCATAGCCAGCCCGGGAAGCGGTGAGTGCAATAACCTATTGTGTTTGCTCAGATGCACTTGTTATAGATATCAGACAGGTAGCGAGGAGCGTGAAAGAATTCTTCAATTGCAGTGAACGTTCGCTGGCGGGTTTGGCGGTTTCTGTTCGCTTTCCCGAACTGATTTCGCTGGTCGCTTCTAAGGCGTGCTCATTTGCTGAATTTTTGAGCGCTGGCAAGCGTTGCTAACAGCAGGTCGAATTTGTAAACCAAATATCTGATTTATACCATGTGTTTTTCTGCACACGCAACAGGTTATAATCAAGATTTTCAACATGCTACCCCGCATATCAAGAAGGTGGGAATGTTACAGATGCCCGCCGAAATCGGCTGGGAAAAGAGACTTTTTACGTATCCAGCCGAAGTGTCGAGCTTTAATGTACTAAGAGAAGCTCCGAAGAGCGTTGCCGCGGAATCTCAGGAAAAACAGCCTGGCATAAGAAACCTTGATGAAAACGGCAATGAGATCGCCCCAGGGCAAACAGCGCGAAATAGCTACCAGTGTCAAGAGTGCAGTAAGAATTACTCCACTCTCACATCGCTTCTTCGACACCAGCAATACCACTGTCAGCCTCACCATAAACGCCCGTTTCACTGCAAATACTGTGACAAACTTTATGTGTCGCTAGGAGCGCTCAAAATGCACATTCGTACACACACCTTGCCGTGCAAGTGTAAAATCTGCGGTAAGGCCTTCAGCAGGCCTTGGTTGCTTCAAGGACATATCCGAACGCACACCGGAGAGAAACCCTACAAGTGTCCGAACTGCCAGCGAGCCTTCGCCGACAGATCAAACCTCCGAGCGCATCTACAGACGCACTCTGACGTTAAGAAGTATTGCTGTAGACTCTGCTCGAAATCTTTTTCAAGAATGTCGCTCCTACTGAAGCACGAAGACAGCGGATGCCCTGGAAACGGTCCTTAAGTCACAAAAACTGACTTAACTCCGTTCTAGAACTTTCGATTCGTAAACGAAGCGTAACCTTTACGCGTCGTAAGTTGAAAAAGCTTAGCGCGCCTAATAAAAAAATAGTTCACTGTAGCTGTGATTAACTCTGGGAGTTGTTTTTTCCCGATAGCTGTTTTTGTTGAAACACGAGTAAATACGAAACTCAAAACGACAATGGTCGCTCAGAATCGCTCAGGACCCGGTAGCTGAGCTAAACTGAATCCAAAGGGAAGATAGTAAGCATGTAGGAAGAACTGGACACTGAATGAGGATGCAGAGGAGTCCTTTACCATAACAACTGCACCAATAATTCGGTTTCCCTAGGAATTTAAAAGGGTAACGTATAAAATTACGTAGAAAGTTCTGGACGAAGAATTGTAACAAGAAACTCGAAACTAAAAACCGGTTCACATCGATAAAAGCTATTACAGCGTAGCTTTATTATTCTATAATTTATATTGACAAGCAAGTAGAATGTACAAAGAGAACGTTTCTAAATAAAGATTTTATTCAATGTGAGGTCTGTAATCTTGTGCCGCCATTGCGAACAAAGGAACCGCAGTAATCTGAGTAGATATTTGACTATGCTAAACACCTGTTAGGTGAAAGTTATCTCGGAATTACGGAAACTCTGTCAGAAAGACCTGGAATGCAGCCTGATTAAAAACTGAAGAGTCCCTTTCTCGTCCATCGACAGCCACCGTTAACGCTTTAGCGAAGAAAACGAGTCGCTGGCAACCAAAAATCAAAAAGTTGTCTTTTCGCGAAAATGCGCACTTTGAAGTCTCGTAGCTTGCCCCCCCGGGAGAGACAATATAAATAACAGCCTAGACAACCTGTTTAACTAATCTAATCAAAGCAAAGAATATCATTAGTGATTTTTTACACGTCGGAAATGCGCGAACGAGAAAGGAAAACGCTGGTGATTTAAAGACTAGAGATTAGCGAGATGAAACGGACAAAGCCAGCGAAAATCTGACCACTGGCGCGAAAAAATTTGTTAGTGAAGCTAAAGATGCGACGCGATAAGACGCAAGTTGCTTTGATAGTGGTCACAAAAGCACATCCTGAAAGGGTCTTTCATAAAGGCCATAGCTTCGTTCGCACATAACAGGTTCTTTTGACAAGATGGCATTTTAAGTCTTGAAGCGAGCCAATCAGAAGCGCCCGTCAACCTGTCGCTCCAAAGGGCCTCTCAGCTAATAACCCCTCTAGCCATGGGTAAATTTATTTGTCTTAACTAGCAGGCGCCGTCACAATCAATCAATCTCTTGTAATTGGTTTCCCTGCTGTTAAGAAACAGCGTTTTAAACTTGAGAGCTCCGTTTCTTTTTATAGCTCAGTTACTAATAGCCATTGCTAGAAAGACCCTTACTTGCCACGGCTGAGATCGAAATGCTGTTCTGGGATTACACAGACAAACACCAATAACATTACTGAACAAACGGCTGGTACGTCAGCAAAAACACAATAAAGGGGCTTTCATTTTATCGCGAGAAACCTGCCAATTAGGAGCGAAATGTATTCAACATTTAACCTTATACAATATCTGGGTTATTGAAGAACGTCTTAAAGCGATGAATCAGTGGAATAACATCACGTACGGGCGGAAAAAAGCTTCCGTGCTGACGACAGAAGTTCACGTGAAATTAACCTGACATACCCGGGAGTCTTTTAAAGTTATTCCAAAACACCTGCTGAAATAAATGCTCTTAAAACTCTGGCCAATGAGAGAACTAGCACACAGAACACCACCATTGTTTGTCTCAATGCTCTGTTTGTTAGTGTAGATTAAAATTTGCTTTTAAACTGATGACGGAGTCGTTCTGAACTGTAAACAGGAATTGTAAATTATGGGAAACTTCAAAATACTTCGTACGTGCGTAAGGAAGTACAACAGGTTCAGCAATGATGTCATTTGCAAATCTGCCTGCAAATAAACAGAACACAAAAATTCAAGCTGATCTGATCCGGTTAAGATGAAAAATCAAGATCATGACGCTGAACTTTCAAAACCATAAGGCGTAACTCGAGTTATCTTTTTACCAACGTCCTTCGGAAAACCGAATTCCTTTGGTCCAATTAAAAAGGTAACGAAGCGTTTATTGAAAACTAGCCTCAATTAGCAGGGAAAATTCATTCCATCTACGGGTTATTTTTTTTTCGGTTTGTAAAGGCCAGCCAGTGGCAATTACATGCGAGCAGAAAATTCATCACAGACAGTCAAGCTATGGCGATCACAAAAGGTTTAATCAATTGCAAACTTCACGATCACTGAAGCGCGAATTGCAAACATTTCAGGTTTTTAATCTCCACATCAATTATTCACCGCTAGATAGACTTGAAACTCACACTTCACAAAGTTATCTAACAACTAAGCAGTTTTGGATTCTTGTGGGCGAGGGCAGGCAATGTTTACATACTTCAAATATTGTGAAACCATGCAAGCCCTTTAAAAGCTGGAACGATAAATGTTGTGAAAGGCATTCAAGGGTTTCATTTATTATCGCGGCTAAACTAACTTTGTAAACTTGAAAACAATTTAATCTCAACATCGAACAGTTGTTCACAATTCCTGTTCCCACAAACATACTTTATCGTTAACCCTATTTATGCGGAAGTTTTGTCATCCTAGTCCGATAAACAGAAGGATTTTTTCCATTTCTTAAGCCACAATATTTGTTGAAGCTAAGAAACACTATATTAAAGTGATCAGCTAAGACGGATTTCATTAGAGTTTTCCTCCTTGTCAGTTGGTTTTATTTAAGGACCGGTTCTTGCAGTCGAGAATCAAAGGGTACTAATGCATTTGTGAGGCTTGAAAAAATATTTAAGAGCATAACATCTTTTGGCTTAAAACAAAGTATAATATCGTATCGTGCCCGCTTTTGTCAATCAGTGAACTTTCTCTCACCTTTTTGTTGGCTTTGCCGAGTTATTAGCCAATCAAAGAACCTGCCTTGTATCGCCTTCCAGGAGTCCCAGCCCTCCCAACTTGCTGCTCGGCCACTTGATGGGTAAACCACAAAAATATTTTGCAACGATGTGGAGAGTGTTTTCTACCATAACATATTTATTTTTTTATGTTTTCAACGATTGCTTTGCCATACAAACAGCCCGTAAAAGGCACTAATCGAATTTTCATTGTTGGAGGTCAAAGGAAAGTTCTGCGGCCGCGCCCAGGGATGTTTTCCCACTTATCTTAATTACAGTATTTTCACACCGTCACGTACGAGTATGTTTGAGTATGGCGGAAAAGCAAATGTCAAATCCATGTCAAATGATCTTGATCCAAAATCTTTGTTTTTAAACACAATTTCCCGTTTCCGTTTCGTCTAACCTGACCGGTTGTATAACAGGTTGTTTTACTATTCGCCAGCACGTACGGAAACCAGATGAAAACAATTCAACGTGAAGTGGACAAGTTCTGAAAAACATGTTTACTCCATACCAGGGTTATGTTTCTCTCCAATAAACCTCTATGTTATTTTGGCATAGAATTTCCTCAGCACTGGTTGCACAGCTCACACAAACCTTGACTTTTCAGGAAATCAGGAAATTTTGAACAAGGCAAAGGTCATTAAACATGACACATAGCTAAAAGGAATTTTCATGGACGGTTTTCAGACTAGCGCCACTGGCAACGGATTCACCAGCAACTTTTGCATCCCTCCTCAATTCTTTTGGGCAATAACATGTCTTTTTATAAACTGACTGAATTCTAGCTACCTGCCATGATCAGAGCGGGCAAATGAAATAGACGCAATCTAATACACTCCCATCATCACTTCAGTTTAAATTTCTGACAGATCACACAGTAAACCCGATCGAGATTCCAATGGTATTTGTTTTGAAACGGGAAAAACTTCGCTTCGCCATAACACGCCGATAAGATTTTTCGTGAAAAAGGAATTCTATATTTGACATCATTGTGGTGCTCGAATGAAGATCAACTTTCATCTGAGATTTAAAAGCTATCAGAGGTTTAACATTTAAAGACTGCTTACGGGCCCATTTTGGCTTCGACTTGAGATAGGTCAAAATAAAATAAAGAAGGGCAAGGAACAAAGATCTGTAGTAACAACTTACGAGAGTGATCTGAAAGACGACACTAATCGTGGATTAGGTTAATCTTAATCATGCTTTGAACTCATGGGCCGCGGGAACTATCTACCACCTCCAAATCCCACTCACACCCAAAATATTATTTTTACGCCCACCATTAAAAAGCGTAAACAAATTCAGTTCTCCTGGGCGAAACATTTCAACATGACCTCTGAAACGTGTACAGCTATCGCTTCATTTTCTTCAAGACTCAGAGATTGAAACTACGGCCATATCGTCTCAATCCTGAAGTCTAAAAATCTGATCCCATCTACCGACACGCACATGCACAGCGCACAGCTTAAATCCACAGCTACCCCACGAATAGGAAAATCTTTGTTTACAACATTTGTCTCATTAGCATAAGCGATACAGTTTCTGATGGAGCTACCAAAACATTGGTTCTCAATATTGAACGGGGATAGCATGATTAACTGTCCCAAAGGAATTTGAGCCCAATGCATTGAATACTTCAGTTTTGTACGACGGGGCTTTTTTTATAAACTCAATGTTACAAAGAATGTATGAGCTCATTAGCGCCTTCGCCACCCAGAAATTTTGAAGTTTTTTAAAAGCAAATTTCTCCTCGAATATTACACCCAAAGAGCAAAACATTTCAATAATTACTAAGTTTCACAAGATCTTTTAAAAATGTTTGTAGTCAATTCGAGTCTAGCGTGATGCCTTCTCAACGCAAAGTCGTCTGGTAATGAGGAAAAATGTAAACTTGACAGTCAACAAGTAGCACGAGAACTCCGATACCCTCTCTGCGCATGCGTAATTTGACTCACGAACCAAGAAACCTCGTTCCCATGGTATTTAAAACGAGGTTACTCGGGCTAAGTCGAAGAAGAAGGTCACTAGGCACTACGATTTGCTGTGAAAAATCTTTCTATATCTATTGTACCTTGTGTGAAGAAGTACACTCTTGTTCCGTCACCGCGCACATAGAAATTGTCTGACAAGCATTTCCCTGGGAAGGAAAGGAGAAAAGTTACTCAAAGTTAAAAGGGCAATGACAATGATTTTTAGCAGGACCTCAAGAGGCTTGATAAAGCAAACGTGTACCGTATGAAATCTAACAACAATGGTGTAATTTTTTGGTAAAGTATTATGCAATATTGTAACGCTGCAAGGATAGATACTGCATTTTTGAAGGTTCGCGTTTTTGCGGATTCAGTCGAAAAAAATCGGAAAGCTAAAACGACCTGGAAATCTGGAATGCCATTTAGAATTGTATATAACCTGCGCGACAGGGTGAAGTACAATACACACTCCGAGCCAGAAACTGAAAATCTTAATTTGCTCTTTACAAAGAAGTCAAGAAGACTTAAAGGTCTCAAGGAGCTGACAGATGAGGGGTCATGCTGTATGGACATGTCACAGTGACAACCCTAAAATTCATGCGACATAACGGGGGGCGGGGGGAAAGGCAAATTCCACTTCTTTTACAACTCATTTAGTACACAAGAGGGCGTGTCGTTGCTAAAGCTCCGGTTACTTCATGTGAACAACACGCGGTTTTGTTGCTTACAACATATGAACAACATGTCGTAACATGTCTCCCTGTAATACAACCCCTCGTTTGTAGCCAGGCACCTTTGGGCCCTATCCACACAAAGCTGGAGGAATTTGAGAACGGAGGTTTCACTCTGAAAACGCAACAAATGTATTTAAAAATGCAACAATCACCGGTCATTGTGTATCTGTATTTGAGGAAAACTCGGTCAAGGGAATCACATGACTATCGTGACGTCATCGATTTCGAAAAGCTCGGCGTTTTCAAATTCCCCTGGTTTGAAGAGCGTTTTCGAAAGCTCGGATTTCTTGACGGACTAGTGTAGACAGTAAGCCAAACCGAAGAAATAAAGCTGGGTTTTCAAAATTCTTCGGCGTAATGTGGACGCTTCCTTATTCTAAGGCTAAACAATTATAAAAGCGAGGCTTACCGTTCTTAAACCTAAGCTGTGCCATGTCAAATCGACCATAGTCTCTAAAGAGAATCAATCCACCTGGCTTAAGAAGCTGAAAAAAGACAATATAAGAAAACAAACAATTCTAAATAATGATTGTTCAACAGCCACGAAAAGATAAGCAAAGCCGACAAAAAGTAGAATTAACTTGATTTAATACAATATTTCGCCTGGTCACTACCACCCTTGTTTAGGTATACAGGAAAATTACAAAATACTTCAAAACACGTGCGTATGAAAAACAGGTCGTAATTTCCCTCTTATACCTGAAGAAGGCTGGTAGTGTCCGAAATATTGTATTAAATAAAGTTAAATTCTATGTTGAGTCGCCTTAGTTTTATTATTCGTATGTATCTTTAGCCAACTTTTTCAATCTCTGATCTAACGTACATTACTTGCAAAACATTTCCGATGATTTCAATTTCGGACAAAAAAAGGTCCAAAATTGAAATCGTCCAAAATTTTTATGCCTCCAAAATTTTAAGCATCCGAAATATTTACAGTACAGTAAAAAAAATTGTTAAGTAGCTCCAAAGCTCTACGTTTCCTTTATGAGGCGAGCTCTACTTGGGACACTCCTTGAGATAAGTAAGGGTTTGATAGAGTTTGCGCTATTTTCTCGTCGGTATATCTCTAAAACCTTCAGGGTACAGTAAAACTATCATTTTCAAAGATGTTGTTTTAGTGTAATTCATGTTTTGCAGATGTAAATTTACTTAAGCTATGTTTCATCACATTGTCCGAAACTTTAGTCCGAAATTCGTCCAAAGTGAGGTAAGTGTCCGAAAATTAAACGTACGGAATAAAACGTCCGAAAATCTTTGCTAGTAATGTATACCGGTAGTATTATTGTTCATGGATGTTTGCTACCTTTTCTTGTTTCAATAGCAACAGTTATGTTGCTTCCCTTAGTGAGAGGTACAACAGTATTTTTCCTGCTACTATAATAATATTATAATTATAATTACTCTATGCAGTTATCGATTCATGGTTTCTTTGTTTAAAGTCAAAGTATATTTCTCATATTTGAGAAAACGTTTCACTGTTTGTCTATATTACAGACAATATGAGTACATCACAAGGATGTTATCACCAAGAACACTCACCTTAGATAACCTGCAAATTACGTCTTGCATTCTGCAGAAAAAAGAAATAATTATGTTGCAATCATAAATGCTGAAAGTTAAATCACATTACAGTTAACTAGGAAATATAAAAACATGAGAGGTTATAACAAAATGATTGAGAAGGTTCAAGATTCTCATTTTATTTTGCATTCGCAATTGGTATGTAACAGAGAGCTCACAGCTTTGACAAAAGACTGACCTCTCTGAAAAACTTCCAGTCAGTGCCGGGCAGTTACTTAGTACTTTGCATTTGTTTGAGAAGTTAGTGTAGACAACTAAGTTAACTAGTTATATAACCAGAATGATTGCCACAGAAACATAGAACTATTGAACCAAAGGAAAACAATGACTAGTGCCATGCCAACTGCACCTTATGCAACTACTGTACTAGTGGACGATAACAATGATGTTGGCGACAAAGATAATGATGATGATGATGATGACAAAGAAGAAGATGAAGATGGCAATGATGGCAATGTTGACAACCAAGTTACGTACAAATCTTCTTTTGACGTACAAACCTATTCCTTTATAATCTGTGAACACCATTTTGACTTACTTGTCTGGGTGAATTGCTGACAGAACAAAAATAAGGATGATAATGTCCAGACTTTCATCAGGAAATGGGAAGACAAATCCTTTATGTGTGATATCACACACAAAGGCATGACATCTATCTGTGCTATAATCTGAGTGTTCCTGGAAAAGAAAAACAAAAAAATATATATGAGAATTAAATATTAACCTCAAGTTCTAATATATCCACTATCCTACCATTTAAAGTTTAAAAGCAGCAGTTTTGGATTTTGTGCCTACCCTCCTCCTTGCAGGGGATTTTCCCTCTGACAACTCCCCCTTCCCTTACGCCAGTTAATAATATTCATTAATTCTACAACAAGGTGAAGGCGTAGCTCACCTTTACCAAGTTGACCGCATTTGAAGAGAAATCACAACAATAAACAAACAAATCTGGATCGCTGCAAGATAAAGGGGCACACATTATTTCAAATACAACACACACTCAACAAACTAAAGCTCTTATATTAATAGCATCTGGCCTCTAAATCAAATAACCATCACTGTCCAGGTTCAAGCCCTGCCCAGGGATATTGTGTTGTGTTCTCTGGCAAGACAGTCACAGTGCCTCTCTCCGCCCAGGTGTATAAAATGGGTACCGGCTAATTTAATGCTGGGGGTAACCCTGTGATGGGCCAGCATTCCATTCAGGGGGGAGTAGAATATTCCTAGTCGCTTAATGCTACGGAAACCAGGAAAAGCTTCTGCCTGATGTGCCCTTTGGCTCATAAGCAGACTTTACCTTTAAGCCATGTCATGCATTAGACAGTCCTGCAACTGCATTTTTAGAATGGGGTAAAAAGTCTGCATTCAAGCCCAGTGGCCCATCAGGCTGATCCTTATTTCCGGTTCCGTAGCATGAAGCAACTAGGAGTAATCCTGTTCCCCTCCTTGATGGGATAGAGGTCCATCCCAGGGTTACCCTCAGCATTAAATTTATACACCTGGGTGGACAGAGGCACCATGAGAGTAAAGTGTCTTGCCCAAGGACAATGACCCCAGCTAGGGTTCAAACCCAGACCTCTGGATCCAGAATCCTGTGCATTAACCATTAAGCCACAACCACACTTCCCATCTTTAGAACACCTCATGTTTAATTTGGAACAAGGAAGACTAAACTGATAACAAACGATACCTTTCTAAACTTTCATTTCAGTGATACTGATTATTTCTGAGAAAAACATTTGGTCAATGTGACAATGCATTCTTTACCTACATGACTAATATAAACTTGTGCAAAATTATACTTAGTTAAGTTGTAGACAAGAGACATGATTCTAGCTCATTTCATTCCATTATTCAAACCAGCTAATCATTCAATGTGAATGAATGCTTGAACAAGATGTTGTCACAAACTTACTCATTTGCTTCCAAGATTGGAAAAACTGTGTTTCCTACTCCACAACCAACCTAGAAAAGATGAAATAGATTCAACATTGAAAAACTAACTTAAAACTAACTTACCCAGATTTAACTGAAATGCGGTGCAAAAACTCCAATAAAATTCTTAATGGAAACTGTATCACTGAGCTGACTGCTATTAAAAACTGGAAAAACAAATTCCCTGATACTTGCACTGATTGGAAAAAAATTGTCATTTACATATCAATCTACAAAGGATACTAAATTAAGACAATTTTCATTCAGGTTACTGCACAGAATAACAGTGACCATAAAGGAGCTCTTTATTTGGATGCCCTCTTAGTGATTCTGACAATTCTGATTCTGATTCCTTTTACTTGAAAACCATATCATGGTTTAATCATGAAAATGACACTGATATATTTACTCTCTCTGATAAACAAACAACTTTGAATGATAACCCTTATAATTCAAGTAACCAATCACCCAAGACACAGACTACACCTTTTCATCAGTGTTTATATAATTATTTATGCTTGTAAATGTTTACATAAGAAACCCAAATACAGAAATTTCAAAGAAAAGCTGTATTACAATGGAAAATAGAGAAATGTGCTCCTCCCTACAAGTAAGTCACAAAATCTCCTCTTGAAGTTATGTTTTCTTTTTTTTTTCCTGATTCAACTACTGTCACCAATTTTAATAGCCTGTCAAAAATTGCAAAATCTGTTGAACTGTGCCAAAGAAGAGAAAATTTAACTTCCTGCTTATGTCCATTTCTCAACCTGTGCTAAAACTCCCAAAAGAGAGAAGTGAGTCTACTCAGGTTTTCATCATCAAGTTATAAATTAAAGAATCTTTTACCTCAAAAACTCGTTTCTTTTTGTGGTGTCCAGGAAATGCTTCAACACAGTGTCTGCCAGATGTTAAATTATTTTCCTCTGTTGATTCAGGACTGGATGAGTTAAGGTTTTCCTTAACTGAGCCAAAAAGACTGCAGTCTGGTTCTTCAAAAGTACAACTAGATCTTACAATGTTCTTCGTTGCAGCAAAATCTACTGGGGAAACATCAGGGTTACTAACAGCATTTGAGTTCGCCAAACATTTTCTTGATAAATTTGTCTCGTTCTCTGGAAACTTCTCCCTTTTTGCCTCCTCAGAATTTGTATTCTGACTACATTGAGGATCAAAAGATTCTGGTCCTGATAATTCAGGGAATTCTGTAAACAGCCAGTGACGATCTTTGAAAAACCTACAAAGAAAAAGAAGAAAGACTGTTTAATAGCATGATCTGAAAACCACCTGCACCACATGATGGCTGTACAAAAAAACTTGTGTCACAATCTTTGCTATAGCTGGTTTTCACATGACGTCACCAAAATTCGAACTACAAAACTATTGATCTTATTGAGATTTTACTTAAATGATGTATAAGAGCAGCTGAAANTTGCATGTAAAATTCATCCCAAAAACTATCAGCCTTCTCCTCATACAATGCTGCAAGCAAATGTTACAAAAAGTAATACAAATTAGAACTGGAACTGAACCACACTCAACCTGATCCAGACCCGGAGGAACTAGTTACCATATAAAAAGAACAGGAGTGCTTGTCGTACCTTTTAAGGGTGTTCAGCCTCAAAAGGTCCAAAGCGGGAGCTTTTAGGATATTGAGCCCAAAATTTATTACTGGAGATATTTGACAATCAACCTTATATATGAGTAGAATGTATCACTATTAAAGTTATGGAAATGTGTTGTTGTACTATTGATACTTCTTAGGGGTGAAAAAAAACTTTCAAGCCATGCCTGTGACATAACAGGATCTTGGTACCGCTTAGGGGATCTTTTCAAAATTTTCAATGAGTACCCTGCCCTTTTTATATGGTACTCCCCTCCCCCCTCCCCCCACACAAACACTCCAGGCAGCTACCATGCAAAACCAAAGGGATGATTCTGTACCTTGTTGATCTTCTCCAACTTTGATGTTTGAATTTTCATTGACCTTTTGCTGTGCAGCTTGCTCTTGTTCACTGTCCCATTCCACATTGTCCCTGTATAAGACAGTGACAACAGATACATGTATCACTCTTATCAAGATCAAACTTTGAATGAGCTTCAATCCAGTCCGGCGGTCCACTCCATCATATGATGACAAACTTGGACAATAAACGGTTTATTGAAAGCTCAACAATATCATAGTTTTAGTTAAAGTATACGCTAAAATTCATATTGATAACTTACCAAGCATTATGTTCAAAGACTTTGGTCGGATCGGAAAGGAAACGATTTCCAAACTGGGGTCTCGAACAATCCTCGCCGTCCGCCATATTGGAAGAATTTTGCACACCAATCAGCGCGCGGGCTCAGAAAGAAAAAGACTTGTACCCAGATCTCCGACGTGCCAAACGTGTTTTCGGAGATTTTCCTCTTCGCTGTGACGTTTTAATGTAATAAATTAAATTTCAAGAACTATAGGACTCACTTTGGAGGGGGACATGGGGGTTTGCGGTGTTGCGGTGTTGCGGTGTTGATGTTTTTTTAATGCGGTGATGCGGTGAATAAAATCTTAACTTGCGGTGTTGCGGTGATCTCAAACCCTACGGTGTGCGATGTTTGTGTTTTTCATGCTGCGGTGTTCGGTGAAATGAAATTGTTTGCAGTGTTGGGGTTTTTTGATTTACCTTTCTCAAACCTAAATTTGACCTAAATTTAGCATGTAAACTTCGTTTATCCATGCTAATTTATGATAAACACGCACCATTGAGGTTAATAATTTGTAACAAAATACGGACAATCCTGGAAATTCTGGAAACGCCAAAGACGAATATAATGACTTGTATTATTGACTGCGAAGCTTTTTTCTACGAAAAAAGAAAAGGGTGGCAAAAACTACCGGCCACAAAATATGTTCAGTTGTCGCGTCGGCAGGGAAGAAAGAAGGCTCTCTAAGCTAAGGAATCTTTGTAACTTACATCTGTTTACACTCTGATACCGGTCTATACCCGCTCCAAGGTCCTGCGACTTTCTTGACCTTCTATTTTTGCAAACGATTATCGATATCGAATTCAAAGGCAGCTAGCTCCGGAAACCAATACTTTCAGTCAAGATAGGGCTTCAGTCAGTGGGTTTATACACCAAGAAAAGTGAGCGACGTAAAAGAAGAGAGGGATCTGCGATAAAGGCCATCTCTAGGCTCCTCTCTTTCTTCTTCGTCCGCTTTCTAACTTCACGCAAGCTTTCTTCACAAGAGCAAGAAAACTGATTTACAGGCAAGTGCAGTGAAATGCTACGCAGTGAAAAGCGTTGTGATGTGTTGTTTTTGTGGAAAATTGTTGTGTTACAAAAGAATTTTATTAAGTGTTGTTCGTTAACTTTTTTTGCGGTGTTGGGGTGTTCAGAAGCCCCCAATGTCCCCCTCGCTTTGGTACTAAAGTGAATCCAATATTTGAAAAACTTACATATATGCCAGGGGGATATATGTCAGTTTCCCAATAACTTTAGATTTTCCCGTTTTCACGTTCACTTTATTGCATGTTACCTGACCGATAGTTGACATAGTTGCTTCATTTTTCCTCTGCGCCAGTATGCTCGCTAATTTCATCTCCGGTTTACGCAAGTTTAGTACATGAACACGCAATTTAGTAATCTCAGAGCACTCTGTGTGCTTTTTCGCTTTTCGCTTGCGCGCGAGCGAGTTTACGTTTCGCGCACCGGGGCATCTCGTGGATTCGCCGCTCCCGCTCCCGACTTACACTTCAAAAAACGAGCAGGCTCTCGTGTGTTGCGGCAGGAGCAAAGTCGATGAGCAAAGTCGCGAGAGCTATGGGCTATGTAGGTATGGGCCACTGTGAAGGGTATGGTTTTCAAGTAGTTTACTCTAGGATAGGGTATATAAATCAGAGCGTTTGGGTTTAGAATAGGGTATCATTTTTTACAAAACTGACTGGTTGGTTGAAGATTTTATCTAGACTAAGGAAACCAGGAATTGCCACTCAAAAATATAAAAAAATCAAATCGGCAAGTTTAAATTTACGCAAATCAGCCTCAACAGTGTCGATAGATAGGGGGATTTGAAAAGTTTACTCTAGTATAGGGTAGCAAAATTCAGCTGAACTAGCTCTGGTATAGGTTAAGGGTTCCAGGTCCCAGCGGCACACCCCCACCCAGAAAACGAGAATTTGAGTCGATCGAGAGTGGAACCCGAGTTTCCGCGACAAAAATTTAAAGCGGCTAGGTCACGCAATTTTAGGCAATTTCAACACTGATCAAATGGTCATAGAATTAACTAAAATATCACAAAAACGGCTCAAAACTATAGAAGATCTCAAACAAAACACGGGAAAGCCAAGAAGGGACATGGATGGACAAAACTGGAGAGGATTAAAATGGATTGCATTTGGGTAAATTTGAAAATCGTCGGCCCACCTTTTTCAAATTTATATCAGTCTATATCAAAATGTCATTTACACAGCTGGAAAATCATTCTCAGTTGTTATGTGGCCGTGATTTTGCAAATGAAAGACTCTTGCTCTGCCAATTTAACGTTTAGAGCCCATAATTAACAAAATTAAACAAAATTACCTAAAATAGCTTGACCTAACCCCTTTAAGAGAATGCCTCACTTAACTAAAGTCACCGCGCAAAGAAATAATCTCATCTCAAAAGTTTCATCAGCCGAAGTTCACATGGTACTAGCAAGTGGCGGACAGAACGAGTGAAACAGCCTGCGTAGCAGACGTCTCATTTTCATTTTCCAGGCGAGGAATCGAGAGAGCGAGCGAAGAAACGAGCGCGCCTGGGATGAGCAAAAAATGGGGAGGTGGGGTGGGGGTGAGAAAAAAAAAGGAGGAGAAAGAGAAGAGGGTGGAGACGAAAGCGTTTATTTTTCCTGCTCAACCCCCTCCCCTTCTCCTTATTTTGTCGCACTCACTCGCAGTTTCGTTCCCTTCGCGTGTTTTTTGAAATTAAACGCCTGCAGGCTACGAGCGAAAAACTCTTGCCAACTATAATGGAAATAACTTCAAAAGGTTCAAATTTCACAAGAGAGCTAGCGCGCAACAGTTCGAAATCAAAGGAGGGCGTGAGATCGTCATCTTTAATCACAGTTTCAGTGATAATTCATAAGAGAAAGTGTCAGGGAAAGCAGGTTACCTTCCAATGGTTTACACCATCTCTTGCCGACCGTTTCGTTACAAATACAGAAGCCATAAATATATTTGTTTCTCGTATTTCATGATTAATCTTACAGCGAGGGAATTCGGGGAAACAAGTAACGTTTCTGGAGAATCTTCGAGAAGCATTCGACGAGTTTCCGATTCTTAAAGACCAATCAGAAAGAGCACGAACGCTCCCGAACGTTGTGACGTCAACCACGGGCACTGATGTGATTCTAACCAGAAAATTTACTTGCACTACCAAATTGATAATTATATTTCTACACTTTTTTCTTTGCTTTTCCGTAAATATTGTCGAGGATAAGTCCAGCGAAGACGCACATGACACCAAACCATTGGCGAGCGATCAGTGAATTTCCAAACAAGAGAACAGACCCAAGAATGGTGAAGAATTTCCGCGTGGTGGTGATAATGGAGCATGTCAGAGGTCCAAAGTTAGCCACAGTGATGAAGATGAAATTCTACAAAGAAACAAGAAAAAAAAGTAAACAAACAATGCACTACATCTGCAGTCTCTTTTTTAACCCACTGATGCACATCTATGATGGTTTTGGTTAAGTGTTAAGCTTCCACAGTTCGACCAAATTGTTAAGAAGGAATCCACTAAAAGTTCGAGTAACAAGCGGACAGAAACGTTGTACCGATAATATTTACATCATATCGCAAACTTCTGTGCGACTGTTTTAAATATCTTCTCGACAAAAATCACTGCTACTGAACAGCACCAAACGTCGAAAACAAATTTTGAAGTTCATAAAAAAAAAACTCTAAAAAGTACTGGTGAAATGAAACTGATGATGAAATTTTACTCGTGTTGGGAAAATTCATATGAACTTTGAAATTTACTTTCTCGTGTTCCCGTCGAAAATTGCTTTTGGTGTTATTTCAGGCAACTATTTACATCTTTAGCTGTTAGAAAATGCAAAAAAAGACTTTAAACTTAAAATTATTCTGGTATAAGGTTTTTGTCTACTAAAAATTGAAATTGCTCGATTTCCTCTCGAATTTCTTCTTAATGTTTTTCAGCTTTTCCTAACACCTTATGGGTCCCATGGCGCGACAAGGACTGATGATGTGTGTGGTGTGTGTACCCCACAGCACTTCAACGAATTTCTGCGTGTCATGCTTGACATAACACCGAGTGACTTAGAAGTGTTCTGTTACAGTTGTAAACGAAGCGTTATCTATAACTTCTCTATACTTTCTACAAAAAAAAAAATTCTAGTGCGCAGGTAATGAGAGTCAAGATCTTCATCTTGACGGAGTCGTGCGCGGACCCCCCAGGGGGGAGTCCCATATAAAAATGACGGGGGTTGTTCGTCATACTTTTTACGGGTTAAAAAAGTGGTTTTAGCACCTCTTAGTGTGTTCAGGCTCAAAAGGTCCACAATGGAATCTTTTGCGGCATCTTTAAGGGTATTGAGCCGAAAAAAAATATGACAGGAGAAATGTGTTGTTTTAAAATTGGTACCTCTTAGGGGTGAAAAAAAATTCAAGCCACACCCACAAAACAGGATTTTGGCGCTTCTTAGGGGTTCTTTCCAAAATTTCCGACGAGTACCGCCGTAATTTTTATATGGGAGATCCCCGGGGGCGTGTTTCTTTTCCGAATAACAGCTGGTTATCGAACCTTGGAGATGGGAAGTTCTTGTCATTTGGTGAAAACTCTTCTCTCAAATCGTAGCAATATCGTTACGTTTCTTATCGTCTAGGTATCTAGATGATACGAACCGCAACGATATTGCTACGATTTGAGAGAAGAGTTTTCGCCAAATGACAAGAACCCACAAGGAAGCGAGGAGCGCTATAACAATACTGAGGATGCAAATAAATTACGATAGGCCGAACAGGAAGGAAAATGGAAGTAAACTTATTAACTGGTTCGAAATCCTCGAGATTGAGCAAAATTCTTGTTTCGATCTTGTTTCTACATTAAGAGTTGACAGAATTGCCATTTCTTAAGTAAAGAATACATTTCCTTGTTTGGCAAATACAGGTTGAAAGTTGTAAAGTAGCAGAACAAACACAAACTTCTCAAGGCATCGTTCATAAAACGTCCCAGAATCTTACACGCGATGTGATAAGCTTGAGTTGAATTGTCTAGAATACATAACGCTTTGCCGGAAATTGTTACCTCTCTGTTAAAATTTTGGTTTTTAGTCTCGAATTGTAAATTCCCAAATGTTTTTTTACTGTTATTTGTGATTTTCTTGAATTTCCCTCGGTGAAATCCTCCAACATTTTCACAGTATATCAAATCCGACGGGATACGAATTTTAAACACGAAAAAAGTAGGGTTTGTGCAGACCGTTGTTTTTGTTTGTTTGTTTGTTTGTTGTTGTTGTTGTTTTTTATTTTTGCAAAATTACGTCTTATACCGCTGAAGAAAAACTGGTCAAATAGATGTCCCTGAAAAACGAGCTCCATCTAAAGTAAAATATTTATTACCAGTCTGTCAAATTTTACGGAATTTCACCAAAGGAAACGTGAGAAAATTCACTGTCAGTGTTGCTTTTTGAGCTCATGTTGACGTCAACAAATATCGAAAAACACTGACGTCCACTGCGCGGGTGCGATCGTAAAACTTTAGGAAACTGCCTTATTAAGACATATGCACCAACGGGATGCTGGTTTAAGAAGGCGTTCTCCCGTAATTCAAGAGAATAAATCCATCTGTGACAACCACGCAAATTTGACAAAACTACACGTATCACTAAAACGCGAGTTGAATACTGAATAGCATAGCTCAAAGATCATTAAAGAAGAAGATCGCAGCTGATTTTCACAGTAGGTGAACAACGAGATACATCTTGTTATCTCGACAAATGCTCCATCCACAAGTCTCTTCCACGTGGCGGAAGCATTTCAAAATATCACGCACTGTAAACCTTCAGCTTCTAGTGCTGATTAGAATATCAACTCTCCTTATACTAGCTTACATTTGTTTCAAAGTTAGCGTCACATCAACACAATTCCTCCTATTTGGTCACTTTCTTTGTTCTCGTCAACTGCTTTCTGCAAAATGTGTTACGCACGTAAGGAGAATTTTGAGGTTGACAACTCTGTGTGAACAGCCATTCTCTCTAATGATAAGCAATATCACTTCTTACGAAACAGTTGGCCAACGGTTACAACTTTCTCACCCCAGTAAGTTTAACAGCTGCATAATATTTCAGCCATAAATTTCGCTTTTCGTTCGGATTACAGAATTGCTACAACGAAACTTGGGATAAATCAATCTGATTTTTCAGCGACTCAAAACGGAAAACTGAGCAAAAATAAGAAGGTATTGTCGCGTCTAGCTGAATTTGCATTTGTAAGTAGGATTAATCTCTCGCCATTTCTTTATTTCGATAAGACTTAGAAGTTCCCGCCCTTTCGTTCTTATCATCGCATCAGACTCAATTTCCCGCCCTTTCTGATTCAGGATCAGGCTTATTACCCGCCATTTCTTTCCTAATATCCTATCAGACTTAATCTCCTACGGTGTCTTTCTTCAAGTTTTACATTCCCGCCCTTTTTTCTTGCTATCGGAATAACTTTCCCACTATTTTTTCTTGCCATCGGACTCAATTTTCCGCCATTTTTTTTCGGTTCTCCCATCCTCTTTATCACTTATACCTGGCTGAACTGAATGAGAATGAGGTCAACAACAGTATTGTCGGAAATTGAGTAAACGTAGTGTACCGAATTAATTAAATGTTCTAAATAATCACGAAAAAAAAATTAATAAAAAGTTTCGTCGCAAAATATATTGCACTTCTTCCTGTCATAAAAGGTCTGCCCGAAGATATAAATTCAAAAATCACTTCTTCGTTTTCTAAAGTATGTTTTATCGGAATTTTACGCAACGGTTTTCGATCTTAATCTCGTGGGCTTTTCATGTCGCAAGATTTAAAATGAGTGAAGAAGCAAAAAAAAAAGGCCGCGTCTATTTCAATATCATCAGATAATATCGAATGTTCTATCAATTTCTTAATCGGCGCAACCCTTAATTGTGATTTTGTCCCAAATTGGTCGTCACATCCGTCAATAAAAGCTTTCATCGCCACGAATTCCTATTGGTCGAGGCACAGGAAACAATTTCTGTTGTTCTTTATAACAGAAGGCGCTGGCAAGGTCGCATTTACTGACAAATTTGCAACACTACCACAGCGGCACTAACTTGCACCTGAACGTGAACTCCGCCGGAATTGTTCAAAAAAGTACGGCGCTTTCCAGCTCAGTTGAATAGAGGAAACTCGCGGACGTTTACAAGAATCGGTGCGAAGGAATAACAATCGAGTTTTCGCTGAAGGTGAGAAAGAAATCCGTTTTATAAACTGAATATTAATATGCTGAATTCTATGGTTTCATTCACAAGTCGAGCTAAAGGTCCAAACATGCACTCTAACGCCACCTAAACAGTATTCTTCACAACGCAATACTTGAATCTTGAATGTTTGAAGTTGTCAAGGCTCTAGGTAACAACAGAACAAATAAGACGAAAGCAAAGTTTTCATTGCAAAAAATACCCCACGCGTCCAAACAATTTTAGCAATAAACTGAGTCCACAATGAGTGATATCGATAGCAATTTCTCGCGGCTATGAAAATAACAGAAAATGCCGGCATATCGTGCCCGGCCTGAATCATAAATAAAATATTCATTTTCCGGATTAAAACTTCACGCCTCGAGATATTAAACGGAGCCTCACGGAAAAGTGAAATGTCGTTGGGAAATTGAAACATTATCCACAAATTGGAAAAGTTCAATTGATTGCAGTCGAGAAAACATTTTTCGGTTTCGGCGCAATATTTTTAAGGACATCTGTACACGCACCTTTGTGCGTTAAAACGACAATCTGTGAACTACAAAATCTATTGACAGAATTTGCCTGAAGAAGAGCAATTATCGAAGAACGAAAAACAAGCTTTTCACTGGCTAAACAGAAGAAAGAAAACCATTAAATTTCGAAATGGGCCAAGATTAAATAAAACCATTTCCGTGCAACAAAAATTAAAGGAAAAAAGGCGATAAAAAAGTGAACAAGTCTTTAATTGCAAATTAAACGACGATGGCGATCAAATTCAGGGCCATCCAATACTTACTCACATTTTGTTTTAGTTTTTCGCCTTTGTCCTAACATTTTCGCCTTTCATCGGATGTCACCTGGTTTGTAAACTAAGAGGTGCTGAAACGTCTTCAGTTAACGCAAAAGTCAACAAGGTGTAATTGAACCGAAATGAAGAGTTTTGACAGAGAGTGCAGAACTCCAAATGTGTCACAAAGAAGGCATTAAAGTAATGAACGAAATCGAAAAGAGGCGGTCTATATCGCCCGTTGTTTCCTTTGTAGCGATAAATAGCAGACAAACTTGATGCTTCAAAATAAACAACGAAAAACATTTCTCAGACAGGGAGGTAGCTTAAAAATTGACAAAGTAAATATTCAAAGCTGAAAAAATCTGTTGAGCTCTGAATTTAATTTGGTGGCGTACAGTTTGAAAATTCTATCGAGAACACCACAAATAACTAAACTTTCTTCTTCCATTAAATTGTTTTTCAGTTTACCAGCTTTTATCATGAACAAAGCTTCACCCACTGTTAAACATGTTTCCTTCAATCCCTGTCTGTTTTGTAAAATTTAAATTGGTCTGGAGTGTTAAATTTACACAACAGCCCAGAGGATCACAAATAAAGCTTCGTCTACAGTCATTTCGTTGTCAGGGCGTAAAAGTCGTACAATTAAGACAGCTAAAAGTCATTACGTTATCAGAGCTTAAAAATTGACAAAGTAAATATCCAAAGGTTGAAAAAACCTGTTCAGCCGCAAATTTAACTTGGCCGATGCAACTTCGAAAATTCTATGGAGAACAATACAAACAACTAAACTGCCTTCTTCCATACTACCTTGCGAGACAGAGGTTATCTTCTCTTTTTGCTTGGTCTCGCAGGGTATCAGTTTACTAGCTTCATCATATAGCTTCATCAATTTTTAAACGTGTTTCCTTTTTTTCCATCCCTGTGTGGAGTGTAAAATTTACACAACAGCCCAAGAGAAGACAAATGAAGAACGCTTCACCAGTCGTTACTAAACCGCGGTTTTTCGTCTCCGTTCAGAGCGTGCGTGTATTTAATAAGTTAACACAGCTACAAATTAAGGTGTAAACCTTTTTACTCCAAAGCTGAAAATATCGCCTCTCCTTGCGTAATTCCAATCATTTCTTTCAATGTCAGTCCTAAGAAATTGGTAGAACATCAAGACAGTAATTTTCTTTTAATTACTTTCACGGCTTGTCTGCATGGGCGTCTATCAAATTTTTGACCATTTTGGCAAGTGCACTGTTTAATCAAGTGAGAGAACATCCTGTTTTCTTCTGATGCCTTGAGCAACAAAGAAAAATCAAATAAGATTTGCATAACATATGCTGGAGTGGAATTCGCGGTAGATCAAAGACTTGTTTCCTCTAAATATTAAACTTTTAATACATGAAGTTTTCGTGTTATCAATAATAATCAAGGGAGAGGTAAAATGCTATGAAAAGAAAAAGCTTCAACTAATGGCAACAGCCTAACTCGTCCGACAGCTTTGCAGTCTCTTTGTTGGTTTTCAATCTTGTTAGACAACAACAAAGAACAACACCTGCAATTTATCGCAATCTGACTTCTCAACCTCCAGACTTTATTTCCAATAATCCCCGTCTTAAATTGGTGAGTGCCCAAGACGAAAAAAAGGTAAGGTAAAGTCTGCATACGAGCCAAGTGGCCCATCAGGCCGGAGCTTATCCCGGTTTCAGTAGCATGAAGCGACTAGAAGTATTTCTACTCCCCCCTGGATGGGATGCTAGTCCATCGCAGGGTTACCCCCAGCATTAAGTTCGCCGGTACCCATTTATACACCTGGGTGGAGAGAGGCACTGTGAGAGTAAAGTGTCTTGCCCAAGAACACAACGCAATGTCCCTGGCCAGGGCTCGAACCCGGACCGCTCGATCCGGAGGTGAGCGCACTAACCATGAGGCCACTGCGCCTCTCCAAGACGAAAATAAAGAAGGTTTTTATTCATTGACAAAAGTTCGTGCGTCTAACAGCACAACAAAGTTAAACATTCGAAGATAGGAAGGAATGTACTCTAACAACTTCTGTTTCTCGTTATTTTCTAGTCCACAATATCGTACCATGAATGGTACCAACGTAACAACCAAACAAGAAACTCGAGAATATCTGGAACCAAGCCTGTTAGGATGGGCCATAGCCTATGCTGTAGTGGCGGTAGCTGTAATGGTGGGAAACTCGCTAACAATCGCAGCTTTCAGCACTAACAGGAAGCTAGCCAGTGCCCGCACTAATTTCTTCTTGGTGAGCCTTGGAGTAGCGGATTTCATGGTGGGTGCATGCTCTATACCGATGTACGTTGCCGAGATGCTGTTTTTCTACTTTCGCGAGGACGCGGCAAGTCTGCAGTTTCACGAGATCTACCTGCCGATAGACGCGTTCATGGGTTTCGCGTCAATCTTCGCGCTCGTCGCAATCGCGTTAGACAGGGCGTATTCTGTACTCCGCCCCCATCGGCACAAAAAGATTACGAAAGCGACCTACTTGACGGAAATCTTCTTAGTGTGGGTTTTGGCAGCCTGTGTAGCGGGAATTCGAGTGCTAAGCAATTTCACCAGCCAAGATCTGTTGAAGAGCGTTTTTAGCTATGCCATGCTCGTCTGCATATTTACTTCATTGATTCTGATCTCCCTCGCCTACGCCTTGATTTGGCACAAGGTTAGGAACCCTGTGAACCTGCCGCACAGGACCGCAACGAAACAAGAGAAAAAGCTGGCGGTCACGCTATCCATAATTACGCTGGTGTTTGTGCTCACGTGGGTCCCTTTCTACATAATGAACATCGTCATCATGTTCTGCCAGTCGTGTTACGTTCTCGAGTTAATTTACTTCGCCAAGTTCTTGCACTACAGCAATTCATTTGCCAATTTTGTCATCTACGCGCTCAAGATTCGAGAATTTCGGAAGACTGTGGCGATGCTTTTGTGCGGCAGGAGACATTTTAATGTCTCCATGAACAGGAACTGGCCCAAAGAGACCAAGGAGACCAAAGAGCGTCAAACTGTGCTGCCTAAACATGAAGTGATCTCCATCCAAGACATACGAATACATGTACGGCAGCTCGCCCGTCCGTTAGCCAATGACGGCATCGACCTGACAAACGACAACCAATCAGAGTGATTTGTGACTGAAAAAAGAAGATAACCTACCTGTCCTATAGCGCTGGCCAGACTGAATGACATTATATGAAACAAAACGCTTGGGTACCGCTGACAAAATGCCACAAATTGGAACACTTCACCACTAGTCAAGAGAGCTGCGATCAAGAGCAAAAACAGAACTTAACCCTACGGCTTTTACATGGAGAAAAATAACACTTTAATAACTGCATATCAAATAAATTACAATAGTTGGAGAGGACGCCACGTCAGCCTTAGCTGGTTTTATTGCAGGTCCTCTTTCGGTATCCTGGTCGAGCTGGAATTTGGAGATGTTGTTTTTGTGGAGGGAGGAAAACCAGAGTACCTGGAGAAAAACCCTCGGAGCAAGGATAAGAACCAACAACAAACTCAACCCACAGATGGCAACAAGCAAAAATCAAACCCACAATCCCAGACGAAAATGTCGGGACATCAAGCAAGTTCTCCCCTCCCCCCTCCCCCACACATACAGTGTTGACAATCAGGTGTTTTCAGTTGAAAAAAAATGCGACATTTTCCAACATTGATTAGGGGGAATACATCATCCAGCTTAAGTGTCCCAACTACTTTCGTCTGGGATTGAAGGCCACATTGGTGGGAGGCGAGTGCTCTCACCACTGTGCCATCCCTGCTCCCCTACATAAAAGCTCCTTCAGTTATTAAGATGCACAGGTGTAACTTACTGATTGCCAAGATGCCGATGGACCAAAGATTCATGTTAAACATCATGTGATGTGACTGCACGTGATACTCTGCTCTCATTCTATCCTGTACTGCGCCTGTCAATCCATCACATGTCAAAGATACAAGCTGAAAAGAAGGCTCAGCGATTACGACCCAGTCCACTCAGCAAGGGCTGGTTAATGCCCCCCAACTCCCCTACCCAAGGGTGACTCAACCAATTTTGACTAATTCAAACAAAAAATGATCTCTTCATCCATTTCAAAGGCTTAATAAAAACTATCCCACAAGAGAAAGGGGGTAATCTTGACATCAGTTACTGGGTAGGAAAAAAGATAAACTAAGATTTAATATGTATGCCCAAGTGCTTTCTCACGGTTGCTTGTGCAAACAATTAACTTAAGAAGAAAATTACATGGTGGCTGGAAGATATGAATTTTTTTATCATGCTAAAAACAATATTTATTTTTAACACTCAAAATTAAAATTCACATCTTTGTCTCATGGTGTTATATGCTCTATGTATAAACCATTCACTTATTATTTCTTAGCCGTGTGATATGTATGCAACATGTGTGCCAGGGGCAACAAGTTCAGAGGACTATGTAGCTGTAGCCCTTTGCCCACATTGCAGGCAGGGTTTTATTCGTAGGAATTTGAGTTTTGTAACGAAGTCATTCTAAAATATTATCATGATAACTAGTCCCGTATCTAATCAACAATTGACAAGTATAGAAACAGTACAGTCAAACATCTTAAGTACAGACAGTACAAGGGCGACATTAAGAGCTGACTGCCCATGTTATGGAGGTTATTACATCCCTGACCATGTTTAAAGACAATATTTGTAAATTCTTAGATTAGATAGGCATGGATTTTATTTTGTGTTGGATCTTTTTTCTATTTGTTTAGCAGTTGGTGTAATGCCTTATGGGCTACCAACTTAATAAATATGATGATGATGAGGTAGAGATTGTATGAAATCCGGTATCTCTGGGAGTAGGAGAACTGTCCGTAAAGTAGAGGTGTCCGTTTTTTAAGTGTCTGTAAGGGGAGGGGTAAGGGTTAAGGTCTGCATAAGAACCAAGTGGCCTATCCGGCCAGAGCTTATCCTGATTAATTCTGTAATATGAAGAAACTAGGAGTATTTCTACTCCACCCTTGATGGGATTCTAGACCATCACAGGGTTACCCCCAGCATTAAGTTCCCCAGTACCCATTTATACACCTTGGTAGAGAGAGGCACCTTGAGAGTAACGTGTCTTGCCCAAGAACACAATGCAATGCCCCTGGCCAGGGCTCAGACTCGGACTGCTTAGTCCAGAGATGAACGCACTAATCATGAGGGCATGACGAGAGGTTCAGCTGTAATTTATTAAAAAAATATATATAAAGGAAGGCAAAGTCCAAAAGTGCTCAGGTCTAGGTGACCCACACTGTTGGAGCTTATCTCGTACACAAAGCAGCAACTGAAGGGAGTATTGCTAGGCCAACCGGATGGAATGCTAGTTCAAGACATAACATCCACCCTCACTCCCCCACTCCCAACTCTCCCCCCATCCCCCATAAACCAGCTTCATGGTTGCCCAAGAAGCTCACTGGTGCCCATTTGTACACCTAAGTATAACAACAGGTGATGCAAAAATTTGGTGTTTTGCCCAAAAACATGCTACAAAGGCCCTGAGCAAGACTCCTGATTCATAATCTAATGACTGCGCCAATTATTTAGTACCCACGCTGTCCACTGTTACTCTTTTAAAACAGAATATTTCAACCTGAGACTTACAAGAAGAAGTTCTCCAAATCCAATCAGGCTACTACTTTCACTTGATACTTGGTTTTTATTCTACCAATTAAACAAAACAACAAAAACACATTAATTGTGTACAACAGGGGTAACAGCTTACAAGGATTAAATTTAATAAGTAATTTATTAATACTTTTAAACAGTGCGAGTCTGCTACAGTTAGCAACAGCGAGTCTTGCCTGATGTATATTTCATGCAATGAGTTTGCTTCTCACCTCTTTGTACATAAATAGAGCTACTCCACAAACAATCAGCAAGACACACAGGTATTTTACAAGTGGATATCTCTTCCTTGCAAGAAGTACTCCCAGAATCATAACTAGTTAAAAATGGAAACAAAGTGCTAATGAACAATGTAAACTTGTACAGGTATGCTTATTTCTTTAAGCAAATCAACATACAAAGTGGACAAAAACAAAACAAGGAACTGGGAGATAAAACCACATGGGCAACTTTGCTTGGTTCATTGTTTTTCAATAAAGTACAAAAAGAAACTAATAAAATAAAAATAAACAATAAAATGCTTGCTTGGGTTGGGCGGTATAATTATCTAAAAACAACAAGCTACAACATGTAGGAATGTGCCTAGAACAGGGTATGTTTTTAAGCATCATCTGGGGCTATATCAAGTACCTTGATTTAGAAATCTCTTAATTGTGATCTGAATATCATTTTACAGTTCTACTTCAGAAGAGAAATACTGGTTTATGACTGGCAACTTTAGCAGTTGAAGTATATACCTACTAAGTAAATCAATGATTGGACATTTTCTGTACCATTTTAGTAGCCACTAGTCTACTAAAACAATAAGACTAGTCATGCTCATTTTCTAAGAGTGATTGTCAACTAGCTATGCCTCGTTGACTTATATTCACTCATAGAAAACAAGGTTGAGTAGTCTAAGTCAAGTGAAAATGAGTTGTAGTATTGACTGATCAAAGGAGAAGTGCTGAAAAATGCTGGAAACCTTAAGGGGCCATTATTTTACTGTGCCTCAATTATTGTTCCATTCATGAATTATCACTCACCTGGAATTGGCTTACATGACTTTCCTAAAACCTGGCAATAAAAAAATTCAACAAAATTATGCTTTTGCCACATTCGTTTGATATCTGTTACTTATGGATACTAAGTAAAATGGATTCTCCAATGACTCAATGACTTAATCATTGGTTGTCCAGACTTGTACATATTAGAAGGTGTTCTTATGTGTGTCTTGCAAAAGCTGTCTCAGGGTCTCAATGTTTTGCATGGCTAAAATGTCTTGAAGGACCGATTTGCTAGTTTGTTGTAAGTTATCAGTGACATCTGAACATCTTAGATTCTTAACTTCCTGCACCTCGCATTTAAAACACTTTGAAGTCTTAGTCTCGCAACTTAAACTCTCAAAATTTCTTAGGCTTGTATTTACCATTCACCACCCCTTATGTACTGAAATGGAATGGTTGATGAATAAGGTTATTCAGAAGCCTAGGACCATTATAAAAATGGTATTAGATCAGCCTCGCCATTCCACCTGTCAGCCTTGCTTCACTCCATGATCTCTGAATTTACCAGCAAGGTTGTGGCCTAAGAAAAATTACGAGGAACCCAGGTTTCTAACCATGAAATCATGGGTGCCCAACACTTAGGCTTAAATGAATGAAAACATTAAGTAATTCTTTCTAGTCACTCAAAGGCAATAGTTAGTAGCCTGTGACACCCGGGCACTTCTAGAACACAGCCCTGACCAGGGAGTACAATTCACCCTTACCTGTGTTGGATAGTTGACCCACTGAAGAGCTTTGTTGCTTGCTAACATTGCTCCAAGGTAAGTGGTCGCACAGGCCCCGTACCAACAGAATGGAGTGGAGTCTTTTGCCTCGTTATCTTTATAAGTTAGTTTAAGCACTGCAAGATACCAGAATATAACTGTATGATAATCTTACCATTGACAGCTCTAAACTAACACATGTCTGAACAATACATGAATTCCAGCCTTTAGAGGAGAATATGTTATTCAAACCAGCATTCAATCTGTCAGTCATTGTGTAACAGTGTTGCCAACAATTTTTGAGTTATTGTAAACTAAGGTTAGCTTTCACTAGGTAATTTTTTTCTGTGTTTGAGGCTTGTGAAATAATTTTAACATTCAGGTTGGTAATTTTCGATCACATTAACCCTTATTAAGTTACCTGCTTCAGCAAATAAAGCATTTACGATGCATTGTACAAAAACAAGGGACAGGGCATAGACAAATTTTTCTTTCTTTTCACCATATGGTGCTCTTGTTCTGAAAAATAAAAACCAAGAACTGCTGTTAAATTAAATATAACATCATTATCTAAAGATGTCACAAACACATTTACTGATAATTTGAGACCCTGTCAGACAGGGAGGGTCAGCCTGATTATTTGAAGGTATGAACATTTCGGTAGGTTGTGCCATTAGGTCTAATACGATCATTTGGCACTGTTCATCAGGAAAAGCCTATATCAGGGGTTTCATTAAGGGCTGGGCACCGGGCAAATTGACCGGTTGTGAGGATGATTTCGCCCAGCTGTTTTGACCATCTAGTGGAAAGTTTTTCTTGTAAAAAGTTCAGATCAAATAGTTTTGTCCACCTGTGAAAACCAGTTGCCCTTCTGCTAAAAGCCTTATGATTAATTAGGTAGTGGCAAGCAAATATAAACAATGTGCATAATAATTATCACTGTTCAATAAATTATATAATTATTATTACATAATTTATTGAACAGTGAGACAGACAAATGAAGATCTTCTCTCAACTGAATTAAAAAACACATAGTCATATTAGATCTTGTGCACTTTAATACTAGTAAGGCATCTGACACCTATCAGAGGACATGTTGACCGAATGTCAGTCGATACATCGGCCGATCATCTGTTGATATGTTGACCGACACCTGGTCCAATATCAATGACATTGGTTGCCTTCCAACCGACACACATGGCAGACGATACTCAGTTGACAAGAAGCCAATATTTTACAGACACTCGGCCGATACTTTCCTGACGCTTGGGCAGCTCTTGTTAGTGAGTTCTATTTTATACTTAAGTATTGAATTATTTTTTCTAACCCTTTGAAATGGACTTTCAGTAGCTTTTGTCCATTCTTGAGCTTTCATGCCAATAACATGAAAGGTCATACTGGCAACGCAAAAAATAAAACCATTGATCATCTGTGTAAAAGACTGTTTTTTTCCAGCTTTTTTTTCTCTTGTCATCACTTTGATATACTGCAAACTGGCTAAGGTCTAATACAACTAAGGCCTAAAACGACTCAGTGCTTGTTCAGACCTCAAGTTGTATTAGATATGTATTCAAAATGACAGCAGTTTGACAGGTATCCTGTTTGAGCTCTATCAACAAAGAGTCTTCTTTCGTGTCCCCTGTGATAATGGGGAGGGGCTAGGAAATGGCAGCCATTTCAGCAAAAACAACAGTCAACAACACGTATATACCACCAACAGTCCACCAATATCCCTCCGATTGTTGATCATAACGTGACTGTACTGTTGAGGTGTCGATTGAGTGTAGGTTGTGTGTCGACCAACATAACGACAAAGTGTTGACCAATATTAGCTGTGACTAATGATCTATCAGCTTGAATAATATGGTGACCAGTAACTGACACTCAGTTAACATATTGACAGAGTATCAGCCGATATATTGACCAACACTCAGTCAACATGTCACCTGACAGATGCCTTAAGTACATATTCTGTGACAGTGAGCTTCACACAGCCCCTGTATAATTTGAGAGGCATGCCCATTTTTTTTCTCTTAAAGAGATAACAATTCATGCAGTGTAGTATCCAATATATAGCAATTATTTCAAATGACACAGTGATCCCTCAACCAAACCAAACGACAGAAGGAAAAATACACTGAACTGCATAACACATGCCCCCTTACAACACTGTCCATACACACACACATTTCCTCAAGTGCACATACAATCACCAAGCAACTGGTCTTACACACACACAAAAACACAATATTTATAAATCAAAAATGAAAAAAGGCAGAGGGATATTCTATTGTGAACAGCCATAGTATTTTGATAATTTCATTACATGGTGTAAAAGTATTGAGGAAGAAGCAATATTTTACGAATCATGGTAAAATAATATTGTAGTTTTATAAAAAACGTCTAAAATTATGACACTAACGACTACTACAAGTTAAAAAAGGTTGTACTGAAATTTATATTTCAAGCGAAAGAACACAGCTTTTCATACAAACTTAACGTTCACAGAATTATTTTTCAGATCGTGAAAAAACTCACATCTTTTACGATTATAAACTAGTAAAATTTGACCGGATATTACTTATATAACCTTGAATTTCAGCACTACTTACATTTTTTCTTGTATGATTCCGTAGTAGAAATACGATATAAATATTCCAAAGAAGCACAGCAGTAATTTCTTTTTGTTTGTAACATATGGAGACATGTTTGTGTTCGACTTTCCAGCTTCCAAATTACCGTTGGCAATCATAGTTCTTTTCAATCTTTTCACTACCGGCTTCATGCAAGCGTGGTTACCTTTCATTGGCGAAGACACGACATCGACACGTGACCGGAAGTAGTAGTCTGAAGTTGTCATCAAAGCGGACGGGGTAGGTAGGGGATGCACCTTTTAACTGATAGACACGCTTTGCCGATTTTTGACCATTTTTACATTCAAACAAAAAATAAGCCTCACGGCCCGATTAATCATGCCAAATTTAGAAAATATGCGATAAGACCCTTTGCATAAATGGCACCTATATTTACAATACTTATACACCCTTAGCCTCACATTCATGTGAAAAATACTTTGCCTTGAAACATGAGTACGAGGCTGAGGATGTCTAAACTATTGTTATTCAAATTTAGACGCCATTTATGCAAAGGGTCTATGCTAAGGGGCAACGCTTGTAAGAATTCGCACGTTTGAAGTCCCATATTTTATGACTTTGAAACAGATTCTTACGAAACTTTCCACATTTACTGAATTTGACATGGTAAGTTTATCTCTGGGAGTGGTTTTTTGTTTACATAAAAAACTAAAAAATAGTCGATATTGCATGACATTGGTTAAAAGGCCCATTATTGAGACATTTTTTTGAACAAACCTTAATCAACAATTTTAAAATATAAATATTACAAAAATCAGCCATAATTATTTTTCAGAAGAAGTTAAGAGATACTTCCAGAATTCTATTATGAATTTACAACAATAGTTTATTTTGTACCTCAAATCGATAAATCATTTATATATCATGCACATTTCACACAAAATAAGTAACAGGGAAACCAAAATATCTATAACATTGAAGCTAAACTGATTAGGTGCCTGTTACACATAATAATGCAATTTATATTGAAAAAACTTTTTGTCAGAATATGCATAATTAGGTAGTGTAGATGAAGGACATGTGGATTGATTAATAGAAATAGAAACAAATGATTTGTTGAACACTCCTAAACATACAAGGTGAAAAGAAAACAGGAAAAAACATTTGGCAGGGAGTAGAATTTACAATTTGCTAGGATCACTAATGCTCCCCAAAAAGTTTAACATATAGATCTAGAGATACTATGAAAAGACAATAAGGACATAGCCAGATTTAAATTCTTACAAAATATCAGGAAGAAAAACCTTCTATATCGATTTCTTTTTTCTTTAATGCATAGCCCCTTATAGGAACTTTTTCACCAAGGCCACCTTGGCTCTCCTGTAACTAGCTATGATAACTAATTAAAAACAAAATCCTTGATGTCTTTATTGTGCGTTTCCTCTATTCCTTTACCAGGGTTTGAGATAATAATTAAGTTTTACCAGAAAAGGTAAAGTGTCGAAAAGGAATTCCAACAGGGTCCACGAATATGTTATAATTTTGTTAAGTCAGGTACCACACCTTGTTGGACTTGACCTGGGACCTTCCTCTCAAGAGTTGTATCATAGCACAAGTTAATTTCAAATCTGAGTCAAGGTTGAGTCAAATTAAATTTGTTTCTTCTTGTTGTTGTCCAATTGTCATCTGACAAAGCAATTAAAACCAAAAAACTTGAAAAAGCAAACAACATGACTTGTGGCTCAAACTTCACTTGTGCTATGATACCACAGTTCTCTCCTCTTAGGGGTTGCCACTGGCACCTAGGATATCTTGGGTCTTACTGATAAATCCTCAAGTTTCATTTTTGTGTGTGTTGTCCTGTCCCAAATGCTAAATTCATTAACCTAATGTCTCCATCGTAGATTTTCAAACAAGGCGCTTGTTGTTTTGACCATTTTTGGGTTTTATTATTCATCAGCTCCCTCCCCTCCCCCTCAAAGTCATCATCTCCAAGTGCCAAGATGATTGGCCTGTCATGTGTCAATTGATATCTGTCCAGATGCAACAATCCTAACTGGCCTGTGACTGAACAACCTCCTGGTTTTCTCTGTTCAGTTCTGCAAGTTCCTTCCTGGCATCTTCAAGCTTTTCTGTAAAATTAAAAAAAATAATAAAAACAAAAAAAGATTTTAAAAAATTCATGGGTGGAAAGGTGTCTCCTGGATTAGTAGCTGCGTTAACTATCTGCTTTCAACTCTGACTATCATGTAGTTGAAAGCGTGCCTATGTTTTAAGTACTATAAAAGGATACATTTTTGCTCTAAAAAAAAATCATTCAATGTTTTGGTAACTTTAATTCATGTAGTACTACACGACTGGACAAAATTTGTCGTCGTAGAGGAGATATCATTTGATACTATCATCAGGTCTGGAGTGGGCCATCAATTTTAGCCAGTCATTCTAAAATATAGCTAAGATAATAAATAATTTATTTAAGTCTTCAGGGGCTTGTACAATGTAGTTCCCTGCAAAACTTTTCCACACAGAACACTGTGCTGCCCCTGGGGATGGGTTAAAGTCACGGAAGAAAAAAACAAGTTTTGAGACTAAGGCTCTGTGTGTCCACCTAGTCTCCACTGCATCACTGGGTATTTAATTGTGGGTTTTTAGCCCCTTGCCCAAATCCCTGCTGATCATCATTGAGAGCTAATCGTAAACAGGCTAACCACAGGCAGCTCAAGTTCTCTATCAGATTACCTTGGACAAAGCTCTTGCCCATAAGCACGGTTGTGTCGCAAAGATTCTATTTATAAGGGTTTGTATGGGAACGCAATGGTTTTGCTTTATATTTGGTGGATAAAATCTACTTACCCTGCTGTAGTCTCCCTTGCAGCCGTTTTTTGACATCCCAAAAAACGCCTGCGAAGGAGACTAACCCTGTTGCTGTGTTGTCTTCTTCATTATTTCCCAGCTCCTCGGGCTGATCTAGCATCTTATCAGCATGGTCATCATTTTCCATCTCGATGCCCTCGGACTCACACTTTTCTCTCCAGTACCGCTCTCTTTTTTCTGCATTTAACCTTGCTTGCCTTTCCAATTGTAGTTGTTTGGTAACATCTTCCTTAGAGAGGAAGCGCTTGTTGGTGAAAGGGCTGATCACCCCATTGGTTTCTAGTTTCCTTTTCTGTCTTTTCTTTTCCAAGTTGTGTAGGTTTTTGCAGTTGGAACAACACTGCCCTGCACTTGAAAGTATCACACAGTTCGCGGGAAAAGCCCTGTATTCTACAGTTTCTGTTGTTCTATTTGTCAACAAATCAGAATAAATACCACTTTTAAGGGGGATCGTCGAATGTAGATCCTCTCCATCTGTGATTGGCACCCCACGACATAAAGTCGAGGTATCTATGAAGGTTAAAATTGATTCGATCCGTTTCCTTATAGGAGACTGCTCAAGACATTCTAACTGAGAGACCGTTGTAAGATCAATTTGACATCCATGAGATGTGAGTAAGATGGAGTAAGATTCATCTTTTTTAACAAATCTCACCTCTGTCACCACCCTTTGCTTACGGAATGACCAGGGTTCATATCTCGCGAAGGTGAAGTTTCCGCCCTGATCACTTACCAAATGCCATCCGGTTCTCAACTGCGAGATCCGTTGGCTTTCATCTGTTGAATCATTTAAACTTGTTGGTGATTTTCGCGTAAGACCTAGGTAATAGTTTTCTCGTTGTTTCCGTGAACCACGTTTGACCAGCCTTACTTTATCAGACCAGATCTGTTTAATTAAATGGCCGAACAAAGTCGAACTTGCCGAGCAGCCAACTTTTTCTTTTATCTTCTCTCCTTCAGCTAAGATTTCTCGGACTGCTACCAGTTTACCCTCGCAGTGTTCGAAGTTTGATAACAACCTACAAAATATATATGTGACGACGTAAGCTTGGGCCTGGTTTAGACTTTGCATTTCACGTGCAGATAAGCGTCAGCTTTGGTGATAAATTTTCGCGTCAAACGTTGAGTATACTGTAAAACCTACCATGTCTTCCATTTCCACGATGAAGAAGTCATCGCTTCGGCATAGATCCTTTTTTTGGTATAGACACTAAGATAGATTAGCACTCTGCACAGGCGAAAACTTGATCCTCAGCCGTTTTTGCGCTGCCGCGCGCAGTGCCATCATTCTCGTCCCCAGTGCTACTCGTCTTAAAATGCCGACCACGTGACTAAAAGAAACGGAGGCTCTGGGGACGAGAATGTATATTGCCATAGCCTAAGTGCTAGCCGACCGTTTGCTAACATGTCAGTTCGTCAACGTATGAAGTCGATTCACCAACGTCTAATGTCAGTTCACCAACGCTTACAGTGGCGGATCCAGACCTTGAACTAAGGGGGAGGGGGAGGGATTGGTTCCCCTTCTGGCTTTTCTTCCTTCTAAGAGTTTTTTTTTTAATCCAGAATAAGGGAGGGGGGGTGGGCCCCCCTTATTTTGGGTAAACCATATAAAACAGCGGCTGATCAGTTCACCAACGTCCAAAATAGATCTGAAATGTATTTAAAAAATTACCAGAGAAAGTTGTTGAAGTGTGCACTTTCATTCATATTGTTGTAGAGATTTGTTGACCCATATGGGAGACCAGGAGATTCAGTCTGTATCCGGGAAACTGTCAACCGAGTATTGATTGAGTGTTGATCAAGATTTTGATTGAGTGTCAATCACAAGTTGATTGAGGGTATTGATCGACACTCGACCACAGATGCTTTTAGTACACATGATCCATAAATAAATGACTTTATTATCATGTCAATTACATCTAGCAGTGGAGAATCCCCACTGCTAATAGTTAATAGTCTCTGGAGAAAACCAAACACCAATTTGAATTGTTTAACAATCCAATCAGTATGTTTTGTTTTTGTTACCAATAGATATACAAAATAAGGAGATAACAACTTCTTTTAAATAGATCTGACAAAGATGTTCTGTAATTAAATTGCAGAGGAAGATCCATGCCTCTTCAAGTGGGTGTGGCTGGTTACTTGGGTTCACAGAACCAATAATGCATGCCCCTGAAATATTGCAATTTGAGAATTGAGAGAAGTAATCAATATGGTTGACTACAGCAAAACAACTTATCGAGGGATTTAGCAAGGACGAATGGTGGGACATACAACAAGGCTTGATATTTCACAGTAGAGTGCTGCTATTTACGTCACAGCTTCAAGGCTCCTGTTACTCTTACTCACTGGTGTGAGTAAGATGATCACTATTTTAGTTTAAAAAAGGTACTTGTAATGACAATGAGGTTCCTGTCTAGAGTGCTTGCCTTTACTCACTCACTCACAGCCTCATCCCTGTAGCACCGGCTGTTGCAAAAGTTTGCCTTTACTTCTGCCATAATACAGGTACTCTCAATCAACCCCAAAATTGTTGCTATGATCTGTACCATTCCCGTTGTGTTGTTTACCATAAATCTTGTTTCATCAGTTCAATAAAATAATAAAAACTGTTTTTGATTGTCCAATCATGTTCGTCTACTGATTATAATTCATAAACCATACACCGTACACTGCTGACAGTTTTACCCTTCATTGTTACCTGTTACAATTATGGCAACACCCACATGTACTAATAGGCCACTTTCGACATATTACAATTCTGACTTCAAGGCTTGGGGGAATACAACAAAAGAAATCACATCAAGGTTGATGGATGAATAATTAATTTCGTTTGTTTTATTTCTCTAAGCCTTGTAACCTTGTTAAAATTTTAATACCTAATTACAGGAAATTTTCGCAACACGTTTAGTTCACAATCTTGAGGTATACGTATTTCGCAACACTTAAATTCCACGATTTCGCGAAAGCTTTGTATTTTGAATCACTTTAACTTTGCGTTTTGAATGACACAAAATTTATTTCCTTGGCATTGTTACTTCAACATGTCCTTGAATTTAGTAAACTGACGTTATTAAAGGTACAATAACGTCAAAATTAACAAAAACACAACGGCGGAACTATATGTCAACAGTAACATAATGTAAGTCACTTAATTTTTGCGTCATGTTATGTTCGCAACACTTATTGTTCACGTCACTTTAATTTTGCGATTTTTTTCAAATTGCAAAATTCGCAAAATTAACGTGTCACGAAAATTTCGTGTAATAATGTATATTGAAAATGGCTAAAGAGCCATTTTGTTTTTCCTCAGTTTGGGCAAACATTCTTTAACAATGGCTTATAAGCATTCAATAATGCTTCTCATCAATATTCATTATCTAGCTATTTGCATACATTCCTATTCACATAACTGGATATATAGGACAATTCTACTTTTCGCATTTTCACCTTTTAAGCAGTTGTCACATGCACCTGTATGGTGCCTATTTTTTAAATTTTGTGAACATGACTTGACTTGATTTTGATTGGTGGATGGAAACAATGTGCCTCTTGGTGGGTTTGACAAATAAAGCATGAGGGGACCTAGAAACATTTTGGTTTGGCTATCGACAAATCGATGCTGACTACCCCCATCAGGCTAATTATAGATACCCAACGTACTATGCAAACCGCAAAACTGTCCACACTGGTTCGGATGAGGCTCATTCAAATTTGTGAAGAAAAGCAATCTTGAAATAAATGTTTCGTAGCAAAGGCATCATGGACAGAATTGCGGTGAAATGACATAAAACTTCAACATCTCGTCTTTGATTCTATGGAGGAATTGAGTCAGCAAGGTTATTTTCAGTGGATTTATTCACTTTGAGCGGTGGGCACACCAGAAATCAGTGTTCGGTCTTCCTTTTAGTAGAAGAAACCCACACAAAGATTACTCGCCAAAGTCGCATTAGATTGGCCTGAGGAGCTGGCAAACAACAAAGAATACAACACAGCAACAGGGCAAGTAGATTTTATTCACAAAATACAAGAATAATTGACTTTTAAAGTAAAACTGTTGCATTCCCATACAAACCCTTATAAATCAAATCTTTGTAACACAACACCACTTATGAGCAAGAGTCACATCCAAGCTTATCTGACAGAGAGCTTAGGCTGCCAGTGGGCTAATGGAAACATTATTTTGGCTAACCTGAGTGATATTCAGGCTAAGTGGGAGTGATATTCAGTCCAACCAGAGTGATATTCAGGCTAATTGGAATGCAGACTTTCACTGCGATTAGCCTGAATAATCCTGTTTACGGTCAGCACTCGGTAATGGTAATAACACGATATATACTTAAAAAAGTCTGTAGTCTGCGGTCTGCATTTTACTCTCAGTCTACATTTCACACCTGGTCTGCATTTTACCCTCAGTCTGCATTTTACCCTCAATCTTCATCTTACCCCTGGTCTGCAGTTTACCCCTGGTCTTCATTTTACCCTCAGCCTTCATTTTACCCCTGGTCTGTAGTCTGCATTTTATCCCTGGTCTGTAGTCTGCATTTTACCCCTGGTCCTGATTTTACCCTTGGCCTGCAGTCTGCATTTTACCCCTGGTATTCATTTTACCGCTGGTCTCCAGTCTGCATTTTACACTGACCGGATTATCATGAGACTAAGTTGCAACTTACTCTTGAACTGGCTGATCACGTGAGGACGATCAGAGAGAAAGAACAAGTGCCCCGCACCTTGTCTTGTGTAGACCCTCTGGAAATGAACACAGGAGAACAGCTACCTCGATATCAATAAAAGCAGGCCAAACACTTGCAAAAGCTTCAAACGTAAGCTCAACTGACCTTTTTTGCTGGCAAGCAGCTGAGTTCGTGGTTTGTTACTTCCAACTCTTTTATCTAGAGAAAAGGAAATTAAAATTGACAGTTTTCACTCTTTCTGGATCCAGGAGGCATCGATACATTCTAGATGTTACCTTGTATAAAGTTTGTGATATCTTCAATTCAAGTAATTCTGGAGTTTTAGCGCTTTCATTTCCTTGCATGTCCGCCATTTTGGATAAATGCGATATTATTGGGATTCAGGCTTACTCGTCCAAAGAAGCGGCGCGTTCGCGACGCGGTAAACAGCAGGAGCAACAGCGGGAGCCATGGTAAACAGTTGATTTTTCCACCCTTTTCACGGGCAATTTCCAAATCATTCTATGTTCAGAAGTGGTTACTGTTCCAAGTGATATAACTTTGCAAGTCTATTTCCTGATGTCCGGGGTAAAACTAGTTATCAGGCTTGGCGGATCAGGCTTGCGCTGGATTAGATCAGAAACTGATGCTGAAAAGCTTTGCGCAAGCCAGCCAGTTTTTGTGAGGTGAAAGACCTATTCAAAATGAATTACAGTTGAAAGGTAGACGAGAAATTACCAGAAATAACATTCCAGGTTTAAACGCGATGCGAAACTCTCCATTCTAATTGACAATAAACAGTAAACATAACAAGGACAGCTAAAGCAGAGACGATTAAAAATGTGATAAGGGTTTATCTTAAAGTAAAAGAGGCATTACTTTTGTCATGTGGGATTATCCAATCTGACCGAGGCCAAGGGGCACGTACCATTTGTACATAATTATTAAGGACATAAGCATAACTGTCCAAGAAATTTGGTTTCTATAAGTTACGAGGTCCTTCTTGGAGAGGAAGCACAACTTCCAAAGGCTGCTGTCCTAAGTTTGAAGTCGAGAACAAACGTGGATATATATTGTTGAGTTATTTTGCGCAACATTCTTCTCCCGATATTAAATAGAGCTCCTTATAGGAAGTAATAAGGTTGGGGTTTGATAAGATATGCCGAATATGATTAAAATTAGACAAAGAAATTCGAGAAAGAAGCTGCGCTTTTTAATTTAACGAAAGAGGGTCAAAGAAGCCGAATGTTAAATCGGTTCCTTGAGCAATGGAAACCCCACGGTTGTTTTTTATCGACTCTTTTTTCCGCCTTGTTGTTCCGTGACCGAAATATTTTTGTGGGTTTTGTCAATAGGAATTGACATGAACCATGTCTATCTTTGACCGTCTTGTTTTCATCTATGTATATTAACATCCGTTATTCTTAATTAGCCTGAACAGTGAATCGCATTTGATGAAATTGATCTGTCCACTTCCTTTCAGTCTTCCGAGTCGTTTTAGTAATGACCTCTGTGGTTCCGGAGTTTTCCTTTCCTGTTTCTCGATCATGTGTAAGCCGCGAAAAGGCCAAAATTGAGTGACGGTGCTTTCAGTTAATAGCAGGGGAAGTCAACGAAGAAACACGGAAAACCTCGGGGAACAGGGTATGTCATATGGGGCTTACACAGACCTACATAGTTTCTATGACTGTTCAAGTTTCTTATCGCTTAAAGCATCATTCCATGTGTTGACTTGGTCACCTTTCAAGCACCCTCATTTAGATTCTTGTCTCGTACAACCCTCACAAATGTCCTCAGTAAGATGCAGATAAAGTGCAGATCCAAGCTTCTGATGAAGGAGATTTAAATGCAATTACCGAAAGGAAATACTTGATCATTTTTTTGTCCCTTCATTTGCGATGCAATTTATTATTTACAACATGTACAATGGGTTCATGGTGTGTTGACTCAGTTAAATGGTCGTCTCGATAGACCGCAAACAACGTTATGTCTCTCAGGTTATTAATATTTACTGAGCGTGGTGAGCAAGGAAGTTTATAACAATTAACACGCTAATAGGTCGCAAACTTAACGCTAATTTGCTAACACAGAAATCACTGCTACTGATAAATACGGCGACAGTTTATCCACCTGGAAGGTGTGAATGGTTCAGTCAAAAATAAAAAAAAGTGAATGTGAACTTGTTGCCGAGTTGGATGCGTGTTGTTATTTCACAAACTCTTATAAGTCTTGTTAAAACACAATAAGCCAGCTCACAGTACTGTCGACTCTCACTAGCTAGAGCGCCAGTCCAGCGCACCGTAATAAATTAAGCGAATGATGAAGGACAATCATTAAGTTAGCCGGTTCATAAATCAGCATCACTATCACTTGAACTGTCGAACAACTCTCTCACTGAAGTTGGTACAGCTGTTAGCCACCAAGAGATCGTTTCAATTTTCACACACTAAGTGAAGGTTTATAGCTTCTTTCCAGTTGGCACCTCAGGTAACCTCCTTCTCGACTTAACGTTTGTAACTTGTTCAGTATGGACTTCTTCTTGAAGTTCATGGTCAGGTTTTCGCGATGGCAAATCGATGTAAGCTGTCGGTTCTGGAGTGCTTTGTGTTTTGGCGATCTCACTCGGATCACACTGATTGGAAGTGATTCGAAATCTGTTTTCCTCTATACCACGAAGGTTGCGAAAAATCGTGCTGAGGGCCTTTTCCATTTCCTCTTCGTAGTCAAACGTTGTGTAGTTCTCCTTGTGGACTCGGTTTTTTGTATCCATGACCTAAGCAATCTTGAAATCAAGAACGCCACCAAACGTTTTCACCCTCAGACTAATCCTGCGTCCTTTGCAAAGATTCACTCCTTATTAACTCCTCATATCTTTTGTCGGAATATGTCAACCTGTAATCTGTGTTTGCTAAGGAGGGTCAGCGTGCATAACAAATTAAAACCCTAGCTAAACGCCTTTAAAGTTATTTCGCGGTGATAAACGAAGCCGCAACAAAATATATGTTCAACTTCTTGGGGAGGTAATTTTATGACTGGCCCAAAAAACGTGACGTCGTGAATCAAATCAAACCAAGACACTTGTAAATTACATCATGCCCAGCACGCGTCCAGTGGGTCGTGCAGATTGGCATGTAAACCATTATACTGCCATAAAACTCCTTTAATAAGCACATTGTAGTTTTCTATAGATTAATAAGCGAAAAGGAAGAAACGTTTAATTGATTTTTCAAACCAGACAGGGCAATTGTTTCGTGTTAAAGCCCAAACGAGGCGGCAACTAGTAAATTAATCACAAAGGTGCGTAAATTAAGGTTCAACTGGTAGGTCAGTTTATCGGTTTAACAGGCTGAAACTTTACAACTGATTTACATATATGATCACGGCATGCAATCTCTGTAATGTCAAGCACGCTTTTGTGTTGAACGACCTACAAAATTAAAGCGGTTGGGTTTCGCAATCTTTGTTGCGGTGAAATGGACCCTGAAAGCTTTCTGACGTTTTCTGATTATCTTGGTTAGCGGGACGGGACGGGACGGGACGGGAGAGGAGAGGTGATAGAGGAAAGCAAGCTTCTGCAACTTCAATTTAGCGGAATTTGTTTGAAAGGTATTTTTTCTGGGAATGTCTTCTGGGGCCTCCAAACACAGGACAACGGAAGAAGAGGCCAGAAACCATAGCTCAGACAGCACCAGGAAAGAGATGTGTTTTACAAACAAAACTAATGGAAAACAGATTAAAACAGAGAATCTGCCGTGGAGCTTGTAATAGCAAAAAACTGAACAACTTGAGCTTCGATCCGAGATGTAAGCATCTACTGTTATTCTGATCCTGACCTAGGCCCGCGAACGTGCATTTTGATCACAGTCCACTTCACCTTTTCCTTTGCAAAACAATGTTTGACCGGCATTGTCTATATTCTGTAATTACGGGGTATGTAGTACCACTTAGTATGCTCCACGGGATTTGGTTGCACATAAACAGTCCACAAACAATTAGAAATAGCGAGATGGAAAATCGATTTTTTTTTTTTTTTTAGGAAAGTTACAACGCACGTCTTTAATTTTCTGCCACGAATTTTTCGAATTACTTAAGAAGGAGTTCAAATGCTCTGAAAATGAGTTAATCTTCTAGCCAAGTGTTAAACAATCAATATTATGTAGATATTTCGTTGTAACGGTCAAAGAATAAATGTAGTTTAATTGTTAATCAATCAATGATGAATTAATGTCAGACGTACTGGTTTAAAAGTTGTTAAAATTGAGTTTGGATTCAGTACAGCGGCTTTCCGGCATAGAAGCAGGAGCCAACAGAAGCCATTGTTTACGCATTCGGCTGAGGACAATCCAAAAGATGATCACAGAAATCTTATGGCGAACGTACCAGAGGTACCCTTGGGACACTCACTAGTGTCCGCTCTAAACAGGTTCTAATATATTATGCAATAAGAGTTTATCATTAAACCTTTTGTAAAACAGTGTAACATATTGTAAGATCAAAGACTGCACATAGCACCATTTCCAGTATCTGGAATAATCTACTTGGCTTTAAAACGACATAACTGAACAACTGTTAGAGGAGTCTGAGCTGATCTGAGCAAAAGCCCATGAAGTGTCCGCTTATTGCAGGTTGCGGCAGGTTGATGTTACAGTAAATGCGGGAAGAAAATTTAGGTAATCAAGCTGGTGTCTACTTAATATGGGGTCCACTTAACACAGGTTTCACTGTATTTGAGAGTAGTTTTGACGTGAGTGTCGAAAACAACTCACTGATTTGCTTTGTTTTTCCTTTACTACCCTAAAGCGCGGTCCGCACTTGCGACGCAAGGATAAACATAGACCGTGAACATAAATATCAACATAAGAAGCTAATGCGCTAGTGGGGACGGCCGCGACATAAGCATAAGAGTCATAAGCATAAGCGTTCTCCTTACACTTATGCTTATGTTCAGTGAGGACATGGTTGACAAAGGCACGAAGTGCTCGCTGATTGGCTGAAAGTCTTTTGCCCACGCTTATGTTTATGCCAACATGTCTTCACTGAACTCAATAGCGACAAAAGCATAGACATAAGCAAAAGAAGAACGCAAGGTCTTTTCTTATGCTTATGCTTATGTCGTGACCGACCTTACTAGGACATTAGCTTCTTTTCTGCTTGTGCTTATGTTTTTGCTTATGCTTATGCTTATGCTTATGCTTGCGTCCCTAGTGAGGACCGAGCTTATGCGTGATTGGCTTGAAATTCGCGACAAAACCACTCATGACTCGCTCGCATACGTTTCAAAAATTTCCCGCGCTACATGTATTTGCTTCAAGTTTTGATTGGTTCACTGGTTTGTCTTTGTCCTTTGTGATTGGCCAGAGTGATTCGGCTTTGGTCAACACTCAATTGAAATTCGCTCTATTTTCATGATTCTGATCCTGATCTCCCTCACTGGTGGTCACACTCTACCAGACCCCCATAATATGTTGACTACGAACTGGCTAAACGCTAAACGCGGGAAACTGTTTAGTTCTTGTCACGTTCGTTTTAATGACGTCATAGAAAAGAATTTTGTTCAAAGTGTGAGAAAAAGTTGCCGAAGACTAAACAAAGTTTAAGTAAATAAGAACGTCTCTTTCGAAACCTTAACCACTTGTCTCGGTAGATCACGCTTCAATCCCTTGTCTGCCGACTAGCTGTAGAACACGCTCATGCAACAAAGCTTACGATAAAAGTTTGCACGAATTCAAGCTCTTTCCTGGCGTCCTCCTTAATTTTCTAACGTCGCTTTTGCGAAGCTGCATTCGAATTTAGATAAAGATTTTGCCTTTAAATTCGTCTCGTTTGAAGTGAAACAACAAACAAAGGTGAATTCATCATTACTGATACGTGACAGTGTGGGGTCTTCAGGTACTTTCAGAGATTTTCAAGATGTGTATCGCTCTTTCGACATCGTGCTTGCTGTCCTGTCTTATATCTCCCTTAATACGTGACTGACTGACTCTTTCAGAGCATTAAAAAGACAGGAAAACGACACTACTGGAGTTTCAAACTTTATGTTAACTTTTCGAAGGCAAAATGGAGCTGTTTATCACTCAAATTTTAAAGCAAAGCAAATTCTTACAGGTCGCTATGGTTACTTATGGCTTACATAATTATCAGCGCAGTCCTAACTTGTGGCGCAGTAAAACAAAATAAAACACTTAATGCTTTTGTTCGTTATTCCAAAGGCGGAACCCACAAGTTCTCTTTGATTGCTCTCGTGGCTTCATTTCGTTTCCATTTCAGTCGTTTATCAAGAGCGCTAGTTGTTTTCAAGCTTTCTTACCTTCAGCCAGCTATCTGTCACATAGTGAAATCCTTGTCTATGCAATTGTCACTTATCAAGATTGGTTTGTTTCCCTCTCGTATCACACTCTCTGCGCACTAAAAGCTTCTGGTGTACCCCATCAGGTGCTTTCGTGGGCTTTCACTTTTGTAACGTGCTCCGTAAACACTCGTTCAATGACGAATTTTTTTCGGGATAGTTTCGCGCATCAGTTTCGTGCAAACTGGTTCTGATCGTTGAGTATTGGAAATCTGTCGCGACTTCTCACACTTCGGCAGTGAAACTCTAGCGTGCCGAATCTCCTCCAAAGCACGCAGGTTGTCAAAAATCGTGTTTAAATATTTGTCCATTTCTCTGTCGTAGTTAAGAGTGGTGCACATTTTGTAGGGTTTGTATCTCTCGTTCATCGCCCAAAGAGTCTGCAACAATTATGCGTGAGCTCAGATTATGAGGTCAAATGACTGCAGGTAGAAAGCTGTCCTCCTTTTATAACCCTGTCACTGAATGGGAGGGGTTTATAAGGCTTATGCTCTAAGCACGATATATCATGTATGTGCGACTCTAAATCCGCGTTCTTGCGAGACCTCTGTAAACCATTTTAATGCTTGAAACTCACGAGGTTTATTTCCTAAGTTTTTGCATACACGCTAGCCAGCGAAGAAGAAAGGAAAAGTTTTTTGCTTTCCCAGTTAGGCAGAAAATACGCTTGAAATTCGGAGCGTGATGGTCGAACTTGGTGAATTATGCGTACGTAGGTCTATAAAGGTTCAAGAAGTTAAAACCCTCAAACGTGTTAAACGGCAAACACGTTTTCCGTTTCCTCTTGTTTTGTTTTCATTCTGAAAACGGATGTTTTAACATTCACAATGAAACAGTGGTATTTATAGAATTCCTGACGATTAGTTAATGATTATGTATGAGAATCAATTCCAAACGTTTATGCCAATAGCTGAAAACAGAGAGATTATCTCTTGCTTTATTTCAAGGTGCACTTTTATGTCAAGACAATTTGTTTTAGTTTATCAAGTTTCAAACAACCCCATCGATAATCCTCGACACGCGTGTTGTTTCCAAGGGAACGTTTACTGACTAAAAGCTTGAATGGGCTGAAAGGGAAAAAAATGTGTTGGACACGTCTGGATCTCGCTACTGAGGATGAAAAGTTACATTGATTTAAAATGTTGTCCTTCGAGATCACACTGTGATCTTATTTATTTTACTTTCCATTTTTCAGTTTGTACTTATGGTCTGTTTTGACGCTAGTCCCTAACTACTCGTCTCGATAATATGAATGAACAACTATCGCAGAGCCTACCGGTGAATGCCTAACGATATTTCGTGATTGTCACGTTCAAGAAATAAGCATTGTTCCACCTGTTTTTTTTTTTTTTTTGGATACGTATGGATTCCTAGCCAATATGCTACGCACCTCGTTGGCTATCTCACTTGTACTACCTTTTGTCCAACCGAATTCTGGAATACGTAAATACTGAAACATCGGCTGTTAGACTTGCCTACAAGTTGGGAAGCGAAAGCCGAGCTCAGAACGAAAAGACTGTCCGCCCGTTCAAAACTCGCCTGTGGGCATAAGAGGAGGGCAGAGTCGCCCTGCGCGCCGGGGCTAACCTAAAACCGCGAAGGAGTCTGGACCTAACGAATTGTATAAAGGAAAGTGATGGCTTGAAGGCATATCACTCATTTTCGTAAGTAGTGATGTCAAACAAGTCTCTACCGTTTCTTGGTATCTAAATGGCTGTCATGAGCAATCAAAAATCTCTTGATATTGTGATATTGAGCTCCCACACGCATACATACACTTAACCGGCCCTCTAAAAACCCAAGGTGGTAGCCGAGTGAATAAATGTTTTAAAGGACAACGTGCATCAGTGAATGAAATCTGTTCTCTTTTTTTAGCGACAATTGTCGCAATTTCTGGTTATTTCTTGAGCGTAATTCAATGAGCCGGAAGATTCCAACTGTTCCCGCGGACACGGTCAACCGCATTTCAGCGTTATGCGTCCAACATCAGAAAGACAACGCAAATGGGTGACTCCCACATGACCTAGTCCCCAGGTCGCAGTCACGTTCGTTCTAGTGACGTCACGGAAAAGGATTTTGTGGCAAAACGTGTAAAGACCCATTCTCTAGTAAACTGTCACGCATTCTCCGCGGAATTAAATCACCAGTCTGCACACGAAGTAGTAATCGAGAGTTCCATGGGTAGACCTTTATTTTCGTCTGCACAAGCAGCCAAAGCGTATCACTGAATTCTTTCCCGTATTTAACAATAGTATTAGACAAGGTAGAGCAAAGAGAGGTTCAAGGACCCATACACATTTTAGAGACCTATTATATAAAGAGCTTCTCTAAAAGGTATAGAACCCGACTCAATTCAATTTTACCCCCACCCCACTCTCCAACCCCCAACGACACAAAAGTGGATAGTATTCCACTAAAGGTCTCCAACCACATTTTTCATTCACGCCCAATCCGATGGCCGATTCAAAGCCAAAGCTTAAAATTCAAACATTTGTAAATTGCTTTTGAAGAGATAGTGTTTCAGCGAGGTTTCAGCGAGGTTTCCAAAACTAGGTACGACAACTTGCTGCCCCATCTCTCTGACTAGCACATGGCTTAACCTTATCATTAGCAAAAATAGTCCAAATAGCTTACAAAAAGCGATTGGTGGAAAACACGAAGAGAACACAAGGTAAAGTTTCAAAATTTATTGTAAGTTTTCGAAGGAAATGCGTAGTCATTTGTTGAATTGATCGGATTTCAAATTCATACAAACTCTGATTGCCAACTTTATGGCATTAACACTTCGTTTATCTTAGAAAACTTACCATCAGTTCCTAACCTGTGTTGTAGAGTGAGCTAATCAGGCAAGACATTACACTTGTTACTTCCATTACTTTTTCCAAAGATCGACGACTTCTTAGAAATCGCTTTCTTCAGTTCAAGTTAAAATCTAAATAGTAACAATGAGTTTCCGTTTTGCGCCCTCTAATTAAATTCTCAAAGTGCTTACAAGCTTTATTACAAATAGTGAAAATGACTCTAATATAGAAAGGTTGTATAGCATTATATGGAGTATAAAATTAAACATAGACATTTTTAAAAAGGGAAGCCACTTAGTTTGCTAGTTATTGTCAATGATTTAATTTCTTCCGGTAAACTGTTCCATAGTTTCGGGGCATAGAAGGAGGAGGCACGTTTGTCATACGTTGTGTCAACAGGATGGATTTGAGAAAGCGCGCTGATTGTCACTGAATTTCCTTTCTCAAAAATAGCCATGGATCCAGGTTTATATCTGCTGTGGCTACTTCGACCATCGTTTGGTTTTCTTGCTGATCAAACCTTCTCTTGGTGGACTACAACCTGTTGCATACCATCACATATTCGTGTCGTCTCTTGTTTACTGTAGAACTTTTTTCGGGATAGCCTCGACGCGCAATTCGTTACAAACCAGCTCTGAATTCTCAGCATTCAGTATTTTTCTCATCGTATCAGGCTCGCGTAAAACCGTCTAGTTCGTCGAATTTTCTCCAGAGCGCTGGCACGCAAGTTGCAGAAAATCATGGTAAAAGACTTTTTCATCTCTTGTTCGTAACTAGAATTGTTGTTTGGTTTGTGTGCTTTGCATCTCGCATTCATTGCCCAACAAATTCAGATTCGTCGTACGTGATCTCAAAATATGGGGTAAATTGACTCCATTTAGAACATTCTCCTTGTTTATAGATTTGGTCGCCAGATGGGAGTGGCTTATAACGCTAAATTAGCCACAAGTTCGCTTGACTGAATATGCTGCGTGCCGGCTCTTCTTGCTGTCGTTAAATGTGTTTGACTCATTTTCGTCGTCTTTACATACACAATAGTCACTGAGCAAAAAGCAAGGAGAAGGTGTTTGCTTTTCAAGTTTGGCAGAAAATGATACTGGCTTTGAAATTAAGAGCGTGATTCACAAGCTTGGTAAATAATGCCTGCTTAAAGGTTAATGTCAATAAACTACTCAAACGTGTTAAACGACAAACACGTTTTCCGTTTTCCTTCTGCGCGTATGGTTTTCGTTCTAGAAGCTAATGTTGTGACATGTATGTCATGTTTTAACGAATGCAAAACGATTCGCCCTCGTTTTATATGAAATGAATTCCGAAATTACGAAGTTACAAAGTTAAAAAGATTCTGAAGGCCTACCAAAAAGATTATCAAGTGTTTACTTGCATTTGATGAATAAGAACGAAAGCATTCCTCGGCGGCATGTTATCAATTGAGCCCCGTTTTGGTTTTTAACTGTACCTGCCAGAAAAAGAACTCGAAACGTTACAAACCGTGATTGTCATATAGATTCAAACGCAACGCGCATTACGATTGGCTACCGAACAGACTTCAAGAATTAGAATATGTAACAAGCAGACGGTAATTTTGTTCAAGGTTCACAACAGGTCATGCCGAAGAGTGTTCAAAAATATTTCGGCTGAGATTTTTGCTTTGCCGTTTAGTTTCAAGCTTGCCATGGCTAGCCGTGAAGGTGAGACATCGAAGCAGAGCAAGCAAGGGGTGAATTATGAGAAGGTCATGAACCAGGCTTTGAGTGAAATCTTTCAGAATCTAAAGGAGATAAAACAGGATACTAAAAGACAAAGAGACCAACTGCTCCTTGAACGAAGGCGAGGGAGTGCTCCTTCTTCAGTACTTAGAAAACCGACAACAACTTTACAGCTACCGAAAAATGAGCTCAGTAGATCAACGTCGAACATGCTGTGGGTTTTGCAATGTGAAGAAGAAGACGCTTTATGAATGACAGGTGAAATTAGCCTAAACTTTGAATTCCTCGAGACGTTATCATTTGAATTTAACTTTGGATTATTCGTAAATTACTTAGAGCTTCTTGTCATGGTGGAAACCGCGAAAGATCAGTTATTGTATGGCGACTTAGTTCCATGCAGCACGTATCCTTGAAAGACTCTCGCTGAACTAGTCAAACTCAATGAAACTGATTACAAATTTTCTGGATTGTTGTTCAGAGTTCAGAGGACTAGCGAAAATCGTGTAAGACCTGCTAGCTGGCGGCATGTTTTATTAAGGACTACAAATATCCCCTGTGTTTATTGAAATACAGGCATAAACTGATTTGCGAGGTTGTTCAAGTTGTTGTCCTCGGTTAATATAGACTGCAATATATGCTTATCTACTGTAATACGAGCTATATTCGTCTGCGACTTTTGAAATCCTCGTGCACTTGTACAGCGGATTAAGCGACCGTTCTAGCGCAGAGTGCCGGAATACACATGGTAATCTTGAGTTGACGTCGTCTCTGTTGAAATAAGATAGTTTCTCTTTGGAAACGCTAGAATACGAAACATTAAAAATCGGCTAACCATGCTTATGCATGTTGTTACATCACACTGGTTGTTTCGTCAAGCGATTCCATGGAGAGCGATATAACCGCAAAATGTGGGTTGAT